TGGAGGGGTGAGCAGCTGGTGACTGTTCTTCACAAAATAGGTAAGACAATAGCACAAAAAGACATCAAACCAGGGAATAAGAGCATCTAAAGCTTAATCGTCTATGCTGTGAATCTCAATACGTTTTTATTATTCCATGAGTCAAAAGAAGTGCTCAGAAAAGCTACGGAAGAACATTTCTTGCAGTACTTTCTCATCCAGCACAGCAAACAATACACAATAGAGATACTATAAACTAAATAACTTTACACAGAAATTCCATCAACTCAGCCATGTGCCTATTTTAATTTCTATAACAAATTCACACAAGAAGTTTGCCTGAGTGAAACTTCTGAAGAATAAAAGGGAAAAAAAAATCAGCAAGAAACAATACCATAGACAATAACATGCCAGCAGTACAGCTTTTTAATTGGCATGATGCAATTTTTCTTTCCGAACTAATTCATCAAATCACAATAAGGGATCACTGGATTTGGAAGATAGCAGCTACTCTTTCCATTTTAGGTCTACACAGTGTTTTCAGTAATACCAGCTTCGATTTTGCAACATCACTAAGATGAGGCTCTCCACTGCACTAAGAATTAATCTTTGTTGCCTTGAAGCATCATGTCACAGCATTATTCACATAAATAAGCTGTGCAAGTTGGACAGTTAAGCAATAACTACTATGACAAAGCTAAGCATAGACTCATCTGGTCTCTGATTTCTATATGCAAGGGTGCTCTGCACTAAGAAAGGTCTGGCTATCCCTATTGCAGAACCATGCATCTTGAACACACCTCCCTGAGGAAATCACTGTTATGTACCTAAAACCTACCAAGCAACACATAATTAATTCCTACATGGACATAGGACAAACCACTGCACAACCGCTCAGCAGCAATCTCCCACCCCAACCTGCATTAGTTTAGCAGCTCCGTCTTATTTTAGCACGGGTTCTTGACACCCTCCTGAACACTGAAGTTACAATTCCCTGCACAAAGAATTGATTACTTCGGCAGCAAATGAAGTTTACGAGAGAGATTTTACACAGGAGGTAAATAAGTGCTTAATGGTAGCATACTGGAACATCTTTTCCCATTGATTTGCTCAGCCCAGGAAAAAAAAAAAAAAAAGAAAAATCACACACACAAAGGGAGCCAAATCCTAGTTTTACTCAAGTTCCCTGAGCACAGGAAAAGAAAGCAAGATAGAGGACAATTTCACACCACCCACCTACAGGCACTTAGCTTAGCTGAAGCTCCTTCACCTCCCTTGCAATCAACCTGCAGAGGCAAACTCCTCTGAAAGGACCATTCAGATCAAATTACGTTTGTTAGGGTGCTTGAAACTGTGATTTACATCAAGGATCTCTTTCTGCCACCTCCACTCAAAGACAAACTTGGTAGGTTACCCAGATAAAAGAGATGCCTAAAGGTAGATGGTGAAAATATTACCATAACTTCCAGAGTAATCCTCGAAGGGGTTTATTTGCCAGCTGCTGTTTCCTGGGATGCGAAAAGCAGGCATCTATTGTATCCCCATGCCCTTTTCAGTTAAAGTGGGAAAAACAAACAAAAAAAACCCAATCCAGAGTACGTTTAAAATTTGATAGCTATTTTGTCTCAAAGAGAACGCTTAACATGCTATTAGTGAGCATGAAAATGTTTTAGCTTTATGTTATGGAAAAGCTTGAATTAGCATATAATGCACTGCTCAGTATACAAATGAAGTATTACTAAACTAAACTTGCCAGCGAGAACATTCCTTATATTCTGCAGGGCACTTTACATTCAGCTGAGGTGAAAGAGCAACCTTTATGTGTGTTCTAAATGCAGGAGTGCAAACATTTAAAAAATGAGGCAAAGAAACAAATATCACAAAGTTTACCCAACTCTTACCAATAATAATACGTGAGAACTGTGAATTGGAACCAGTGCTAATACATCAACTTTGAAGTGCTCAGCTATAGCTTTAACTTTCACTGTGAACTGAAAAGATTAATCATAACCTGCTTGCAGCCAGATCTCACAAGGGCTGAAAAATTAACTCTCATTTTTAAAAACATAAGAGACAGTTATGCACATTTATTGTAAATGCTTTAATTTTAATTTGTATTTCAAGTTTAAGCCACGGTAATAAGCAGTCAACACACTGAATTTCAATCAAAATGATTCCCTCAGCCAACACTATGAACATACCAGCAGTTTTAATTAATTCACAAGAGAAGATTCACGGTTTCTTTTCCAGAAAAAATAAATCACAATACAGAAATAAAAATCTCAGAAGTTCACGTAAAAAACTGCTGGCACCAAGCTGTACAATGATAGTCAACTACGCTGTGAAACAATCTTCTCACTGTAAGGAAAGCGACAAATCACATACTTCACATTTCTGTTAGCTATTCAGATCCTTTACTATTCAAATCAGAGCATTTAAGATCACACATACAAGTTTTGCATACTCAGAACACAGAAAATACAAGTTAGTCATCACTCGGTCTTCACGAAATAGAAAATCCACCTTCCAGCAGTGCCATGTGAATAATAAGGTGTAAGCTCTGGAAAAAATGCAGACACTTGCTCTTCAGATTAAATTAAAGTGCCCTCCAAGCAGCGTGAAACTAATGGTTTCTCACCCGGGCTGCAAAAGAAGCAGCATCCCACTGACAGGGTCAGAGCCCACGCGTCCCAGCAGCCACGGCTGGGCAGGAGCAGAGGAGAGGAGGAAAAGAACCGCTGCCACCTCAGCAGCATCCAATCCCGGGAAAACAAAGGGGATTCCCATTGTCATTGTCTTCGTCTGCAGCTGATCATCACCAGCACTAGCAAGGCAGTAGCTTGCGCAGTTATCTCCACAGCGGGCAATGTCACAACCCGACCAACAGCACAAACTACTACCTCAGCCAGGCCTGGTGCACCCGGCCCCTGCTGGGGGGAACGAGCAGGCAGACGCCGCGTCACCGATAAACGAAGTTATAGGGAGAAACAGCAGGAAGATAAAAGGGCTCTGGGGTCTTTTGATGATCCTCGTCTCCTTTATCTGCTGCAGACATCAACCAGACTCCTCTCGTCTGACAGAAAAGCAGAGGGAAACCCCGCCCAGCTCCCTCCCCAGCGCTGCCCTTTTCCTCGCATGACCTGAAGCCGACGGGCAGAGCTCCATTTATCAGATACATCACAGACCCCAGCTGGTGCAGCAAAGGGCACGTTTAATTTCAAACAGCCACCGCTCCGCACGCCTGTAACAGATGGGGAAGGGAGGGAGAGAGGGAGGAAGGGAAGGAGAGAAGCGGGGGGCAGCGGGCATGGCAGAAAATCGCCCTCAGCCCACCCGACCCTCCCCGCGCACAGCCGCGGCCCCGGCCCCGTCCCGGCGCCGACCCCCGCCGCCCCCCGGGGAGCGCGGGGCGGAGGCGCCGCCCGGCCCCGCTCCCACAGCTCGGCCGCGCCGCCGCCCGCAGGGCCGGGACGGAGCTCCGCGCCGGCGCTCTCGCGGGGAGCACCCGCCGCCTCTCCCGGGCCGCGGTGCCGGCGGGAAGGAGGAAGCCGAACCCTCGAGGGCGCTGGGGCGCGGCCCTCGCGATCGGGGAAGGAAAAGTGCTCGCCTTGCCGAGGCCGCAGACAAAGGGGCGCCGGGCGGCCCCGCTCCCGCCGCGGCTTCGTCCCTCGCCGCCGCCCGCCACCGCCCGTGTGTCCGGCCGAACCATAGAGATCGTTTAAGGCGGGGGGAGAGAGGGGCTCATCCGCTGCCCACGTGACTGGACATGTCACTCACCCGGCCGGCGCCATCTTGGGGAGGGAGGGGAGGCCGCTGCCCCCGGCTCGCGTTCAAGATGGCGCGGGCGGGCGGAAGGCCGGTGCTCGCAGGGGAGCGCTGTGCCACTCCCCTCGACTCCCGCCGGACTGCGCGGCTGGGGGGGGGAGTTAACGTTCGTCCGGGGGATGCTGGGAGCGGGGCGCTCCCGCTCTCGATCCGGGGCTCCTTGAAAGACGCGGGAAGAGCCGGCCGTCCGCTAGGGCTGCTTGCTGGGACCGCCGCCGGGGGGGAGCTCGGCGCGGCGGGACCTCGCCCGGCTGTTCCACAGCGCGGTGGGCAGAGGGGCGCTGAAGGCGGTGGGGAGGGAGTGCCGGAGGGCAGTGCTGCGAGGCCCCGCGCACGGGCTGGGGGAGGGCAGCGCAGCGCGGAGGGACTGTGCGCTCGAACGCTTTGTTTGTGGAGTCAGATCTGAACCTGGTTTGTGTTTTTAAATGGGAATTGACCCCAGTGCGATTGCTCCGTACTGGAAACTGACTGAACGTCGTTACGAGAGCGCACAGAGTTAGGAGCGCTGATGTTTTAAGCGACTTCATTTTGTCCCTCCATGCATCTGGAGAACAAACTGCCCGATGCACGAGAGGAATTGCGGGCAGAAGTCAAATACACAGATAAGGTGCTATGCAGTAATGCAGGGCGCAGAAATAACCCCGCTTGCAGCTAAACGTAAAGGAAATCGAATAGCCTTGGGTTTGTCAGCACAAAGCTACACACGCACCTTGGTCCTGGCATCAAACCCCTGGCTTCAGAGTCAACTTGTAAGAAATCTGTTGACAAAGTCATGCTGGAAAGCAGCCGAAACACTGCACCCGAGATCCAAAGATGGAAATACTCCATAACGATCCTGTCTGTAGTTGCCTGCTTTAAAGTTTGCACCTATGTTGGCAACAGGGTTGATATTACATCGATTGCTTGTTTAAAAGACATTGGAACCAGTGCAAAGTTGAACGTTCTACAAGTCCTGATTCCTACAGAAAGGCACGTGATGATATTTCACGCGGGGTCAGTAAGACTTACAGTAATTCTGCTATTTGAGGTCAGTGCAAAGGAAGCTAAATACTACAAAGGAATGGGTACACCAAGTGCAGGTTCTACTCTGCTGTTTGTGTACAGGTGAAAAAAAAGAGTTCTGAAAAAGAAACACAAATGGGAAAATCTAAAAGTGTTTATTTAAAAAACAAAACAGAAAAGTGGCTTATTTTTAATAATGATGAAAATAAGCATGGAGCTATATTTTTTGCCTTATTTTGCACTTGTATTTATCTTTCCAAAAAGACTGCTCCTTTGTTAGCAATTATTTAAATGTTTGCTTGCAATTAAACAATAGCCTTTGTGCTAAGATTGCCATCTTTTCCAAGTAGGAAATGCATTTTACATAATTAGTAATTCAGTATCTTATTTTTTAAATCCAATTTTTTTGTTTTCCAGAAAATGTTCTAAGTACATTTTTCCCAACGATTTAACATCCTGTTAGTTAGCACAGGGCTCTATTTGGATGCAAAATAGAATTTGCAAAGGAGAAAGGCATTCAAATTAATTTTCTTACATCAATCTGTTTCAGGTGTGCCAGATGCATTCAGGAAATACATAGTGTTAAAAGGAAGACAGAACTGTAGCTACTACTGCCTTCAGCTTTTAGACAAAAAGCATTTTACCCTCACAGATCAGTCCTATGCATGGAAGAGGAAAAAAGCAAGCTTTCTTCTTTTTCAGCTCCTAATCTGTCTCCAACTTTGAACTGATTGACTTCAGCTGGATAAAGTACAACTGAGTTGCAATCAGACCATGCTTTAACTCTTCAAAAACTTGCTTGTCAGTCTCACAAGGCAGGGCTGCATACTACTTCATCAGCTCACTGCATTCTCTTTAAGGCTTTGGCAACACATAACTGCTTAAAAATTTAAGACATTATAGCGCATTCGGCTTTGACACAGGTTATTGATTTCGTATTTTATGAGAAAATATTTAAATAAGACTTCTCTAAAAGAAATGTAAACGTCTTTCCTCATTTGTTCCAGTGCAGTACTGTGCACAGAGTCGAGGGATCATTTTAGAGGTAAGGCAGTGCCATATCATGCTACAACGCCAAACCCGGAGGCATGAACAGATGTTCAGTAAGCATATCTGCAAGTAATACTTCTGATGTACTCCAGAAGCCGGTTCTTTGTACATGTACATACGAGTAGTACTATGTGCATAATATTCCTGTCCCTTTCCATGCTTCCTTGTGAAAGATGATCAGAAGCAGACTTTTGTCTGTGCATTGTAAAGGTCTTCTATTGGTGGCAATCCAGTTTTGAGTGCTATTTTTTGTGGGGTCTCAGTCCCTTTCCTGATACGACCCGCCGTGATGGGGGAAAGAAGGGAAAATCCTCCGGCAAGGAAGCCAGAAACTTAAGTAATTCCTTGACAACTTTAACAGTTCCAAGAAACAGCTAACATTAAAAACAACAGAGAAGGCAATGCCAGGTTTCCCAACAGTCTGTCATCCTCACCAGCTTCAGCAATCTTGAAGATGTCAGCTTTGGAAATATCACTGGTCATGGCCAAGTCGCTTAGCTCATTCCAAGCCTAAGACAGGTATTCTGTACACAGAGAGCAATAATTATAATTGCAGCTTAAAGACCAGGGTCTTCAAAAATAAAACTCTGAACATGCTAAACAGGCATCTGACTTAGAAGGGACTTTCCTTCTTTCTTATCTCTGGGCAACCCTTCCTGAAAAACTAAAACAAAACAAAAAACAAACCAACATGCCTTCTTAACAGTATTAAACAGCCATAAGGTGGGGCCTTTGAGTATGCTTCAACTTTGCAGTATTTTTGATAAAGAAAAAAAGATGGTAGCTGCATTTAATACATCCTTTCTATTAAGAACATGCTTCAGGTGATGAGAGGATTATAGTATTGACAAATGAGATTCCACTGCTGTAAAACATGTTTTCAGAACTAGTTTTGATAGTGCTAATGACAGCCATTTTTAAATTGGAATAATTTCCTAAGGAAAACCATCAAAACATGGGAAACCATCAGTCTCCTATTCAATAAAGGTGGCAAAATAAAATGGAGAAAACTCACTGCTGCTTGAGTGGAGAATCTCACATTTATCTTGATGAATTGCATCTTGTTGTTTGGGAGAGAATTTTACCAGTTGTGATGTTCAGTATAATCCTGTTTTCTAGCATACTTGTAATACCGCTTTTCATGCAATTTTGCTTTTTTTTATCGCGAAAGAATTGTTTAATTCAAAATCTAAGAGAGTTTTTTGTACATCCTGCCTACATCATTATCTATGTTTCCACTGAATAAAACCTGAAGGCTGAAACAAACAAATAAATGTTAAGTTCTATTGTATTTATTTACAAAGAATGAGGAGCCTCGTCTGATCTACATTCCAGCATACACGAAGGCAATTACATCACTGCAATATGCTTGTATTAATATAGCAAAACACACTTTTTTTTTTTTTACTGAAACATACTTGTGAAACTTGAAGATTACTTACTCCCCAGATGAAATCTATGTTTTACACGAACTCCTACAGTCATTTTTGTTGGAGTTGCACTTGCCCTGATAAGCAAAATACCACGTAGACAAACAGGTGTCCTTGCTCCCAAAACTTACACAAGAGAGTCATGGACATACTAGAGTGAGTCTAACAAAGGTCCACAAAGATGCCTCTAAGAATAACCTTTCTTGTAAGAAATTTCCTGCTTTAGCCATCCGTTCCTTCTCCTTAGAGCTACAATATGATGTTAAATCCTTGTGTACACTGGGGCAGTGTTTATGGCATTGAGACATACAAGTATTATCAACAGTCTTGATATGAGCCTTGTAATAATGTGGAAGACCCTCACATTTTCTCTCTGGATTCCCAATCCAAATTTCTTTTTAAGGTTAGGGAGAAGAAGAAAAAAAAGTGAATAATGTGGTTACATTTGGCAGTTAATGTTTCTCTTCTAACTTCCAGTTGACATATTTCTATACACTCAGCTGAACAACCTTTTCTAGCTGATTTCACTGACACAATGCAGACCTCAATCCTGAAAACGTCCATTTATTTTATTTCACATGCCTAAGCAACCCTATAGACTTGAAAAGTACAACTTGGACAACGGTTTACTCAATAGGTAATGTTACATTTTTTCAGGAACAAAACTTGTCTTGCTCGAAACAGATGCAAGAATATGAAATTTAAATACTCAAGGATACTGTTTACATGAAAGAAACCCTAAGAATATTTAGCAAAATGTAAAAATAATTAAAAAAACAAATTGATACTTCAAGTTGGAGGAAATATTTGAGTGCTGAACAAGGCACAGAAAACAGAAAAAGTCTTATTCACAGAAAAAAATCGGTCGGTTAAAAGAAGTCTTCCCTAAACTAAGTACTTTTGTTTTCAGTTCTCTAACTATTTATACAAAAAGTGTTTTGAGTATGGTCAGCCTCAGCTTGCATGTCCAAAATGTTCTCAAATAGCACAGATATCATTATTTGATAATGAAGAGGAAAGGAAGCAAAGCAACCTTAGTGGTAATTTATTTCAAAGCCTTTAGAAGATTAATACCTGTGGATGATAAAGTCAGGTAAGACTCACACACCCCCACACCCTATTTAAAATAAAGCTGAAGATTTGCTTAATTAGGATGAATCTGTGTTACCACTGAAAAAGCAGACAGAAATTAATGATAAACAAACTCATCCACAGTTTGGTCTGCATTCCTCTTTCCAGAATTTCTTGTTAAGTTAGCAGATTTTAAATCAAATGAATACCCTTTCTCTGTTCAACCTCTTGCTTTTTTTGAGAACTTAATAGGCCTTGTCTTATCTTTCACTAAGTAGTAGAGCATTTGCAAGGGTTTCACTTTCAGAGTATGGATAATCTTGTTATTTGTACCTGGGACCCAGGTCTGCTTCTCCAAAAAGGCTATTTTGACAAAACAAACAAAAAACAAAAAACAACTCTATTACTAGAAAGAAGGGGCTTTGTTTCCTTAATGTACAACATGTTCTTCAAAAACTATTCACATTTGAAGATTGAGTTCCACACAACTTTGGTCAAAGAGATATGTGCAAGATCCTGAAGCCTCCCTCTCTGATTATCCTTTTTGAAAGGATCACAAAACTGGAATTCTATAGGAACAAACTGTTCAAAGGTGTGGTTGAAAACATTACTCACAGAGGGTCCTTCTAACCCTGATCAGTTCCTTGCAACTTGACTTGAAGCTCCTACAGTTTTTGCTTCACAAGTACCAATTAGCATCCTTTCAGTCAGCGAAGTGTAAAGCGAACAGATCTAACACCATGGCAATCACTTTTAGTATCTACAAAGACTTGAAGGCCTAAAGGAAAGCTCTGAAATACATTGAAAGGCACCTTTTTTTTTTTTTCTCCTTTTTTTTTTAAACATTTGACCTTTGTGCTTTCACATCACAGGCTAAAATATATGAACACAGGCGACACATTTAATGAATCATTATCTCAACAAGAGTTTAAATGCTGTCACAAATTTTATAAACAATACTAGAAGTGTTTTGCTTCACTTGTGTATTACGTGAAATTGAAAGAAAATTCACATTTACTTAATGAAAATTTTACTGAACTTCTAAACCAGTAGCTGTCTTCAAAAATACACTTCTCATGGTTTTATATCAGAGAGTTTATAATTAAAAGGTTAGAACAATTTGGATTTAAAAGACATTACAAAACAAAGCACTTAAAATTACTGAACAAAGTATTACAGCCAAGTATTTCAGATATTTGCAATCCCCTTTCCTGGGTCATGATTCAAAGACTACGATACCTGCAGTAAGGTCAAAAAAGACTAATGACCCTTATGTACGTATTTTTTAAAGCAAGGCTGCAACTACAAAAATGAACAGAGTTGAGTATAACAAACATTTCGAAAGAAATATATTATGAAGTGAGGTATGGCAGTGTTGAAGTGCTACAGTGGATTTCTGCATATTCAAACCTATTCCAGGTCAATGACACTGATGTTTGAGATCAGCAGGCTACTGCCTGCTTGCTGCAATCTTGTCATATGACCTCTTCATTTAGATGTCCAATGGCCACAGAAAAGATACATTCAATTAAGCAAAAAAAACTAGTAACATGATCAGATATGAACAAGCATATCTGGCAATTTAGAAGGCAAAGTATAAGTAAAAATGCAAGCATACAGCTTATAATAAATACTTTTTCAAGCATTTAACATTATCAATATTTTAAAAAGAATTTAAATAATAAATGCAACTATTTTATACAGAACTGTACCATTTATTATACACACAAGTATTTCAGTTCCCTTTGTTTACAAAGGCTGGTTACAGATATATGGAATGTTACAGTACCATCTTGCATAAAATTTTAGTACAATTCGTACTTCAAAAAAAGGGTGCAAAACACCAGCCTAATAAATCTGACTGAATTGAAATATTTTTAATTACATCATTAACACATACACAACAAGCTGTACATAAGCCCACTTTTCAATCACCACTTCAAGATACTGTAGCAAGTACATTAGATTATAAATGATTCCAACTACTTAGTTAAAATTATTAAAGGTTTGCACTGCTACTCACTCTGGACCTTTGAGATATAGCTTGTGTTCATGAATTACTGAGCTCTTGTTAGTACAGTTAAAGGCAGTCAGCATTGCTTGCCAAGTACTAGCCACAAGAGATTTTCTCAGTGAAACTTCACCTGGGAACAAACATTTTTGGATACTTTTTTTCCTTCAAAAACTGAAAAAAAAAAGTTTTATGGGGTCAAGACTCTCCATTCTGTACCTTGGATGCTGGTGGATGCATGAAGTCCTTAAAAGGAACTAATGCCTCTTTCAGAGCAGAACACACTTCTGATGAGGAGCAGGTGATACATTCTACTAAAGTCGGGTACAAGGCAATAACTTGTGCCCATGTGTTAGCATCAACTGCAATGAAGAAAAGAACAGATTAGTTCACTTACTACTATGCAAAATTCTTACAGCATTTTATTAAATAAATAAGTTAAGGACACATCCACATGCCCAAACACAGGCATGCAGTGCCACTGAGACACTAAGGCATCTCTATGGGGCCCTCAGGTATGATGTAGGATTTGCAGAAGAGCCACACTTTTGAAGTAGCAGGTGGAAGCTGGATGACATATCCACAAAATGGCACTGTGTACTTTTGTTCCTACATGTGATTCACTCACTGTATTTTCTTGGATGGAGAGCATCTGACACTTTGAAGATACTACTTCTGCTTAGTCTATAACACAAATACATTTTTCTATTAGCTTTTCTCAGCTCCTGATAGAAAGCAGAACTGGGTGCAAATTTTACTTCTGGAAAGATCAGCAATAAGACTATCTATTAATTTCAAATTATTTCCAGATTATCAGAACTATAAAAAGCAGGAGAAACTCTGGACCAGGGCACAAACAATATCCATGGTAATATTTTTAGTACAGTGAAAATAAACACAGTGTATGAATCGTATTTATTATATCAATTCCTTGTTTATCTGCTTTAACTTTGATTTCAAGAGACCACAAAACCTTGATTTCAAACGTTAATAATTTATTACAAAAATAAAATGATTCAAAAGTAGGAGAAGTAGGAGCAAAGTGGTTCTCTAATGTGTCTGGTAGCCCTCTTCATAAGAAAGTATGCAGCAGTTTTGGCAGTCACTGCCACACACTGATGGCTCATTTTAGTAAGAAAGTTACGGGCAACAGTGCAGCTGAGCTGGCCACTCTACCCCTTTAAAAGAAAGCCCCAGCAAAGTAATGCTTTAGCAGCTTCAGGTATGCTAGAAGGCTTTGTGTACTCTTGCATAGTTCTGTCCTCAGCCTTTTACTGTCAACCTAGGAAACAACACCTCCCTGCTCATTGATGCTGCAAAACATCATGCCTTTCAGAAAACCCACCTATCTATGTTCTTCTGGGAAGTCTGCTTTCTTTCAGGATTTACAAGTTTTTTTCCCTTTCTCTTAATATCAAAAGCAGGGAAGGTAGAGAGAAGTGATATATACGCAGATCTGTCAGAGTTGCAGAGCACAATGCAGCTAGTTTAACAAGGTATTAAGCAGTATGATGATACTAATAGTATGCATAATAACGAGCTTGAATATCTGGAACTACAGAAGGGAAACAACCCATCAGTAGAGACAAACACATTATCTGCTTAGCACAAGTTAACATAGTATCTCCCAAGATTTTTGGTGGGAACCCTCTGCATACAAAAGGTGCAGCTTGCAGGAGGAACAGTACGTGTTCACATAAATAAAGTCATGGCCACCAGTTTCAATCAGTCCTTTAAATACATCTGTCAAACATTCATATCACCACTTAGTATCAATGAGCAAAGAAATGTTTCTCATTTGTTTCTCATTATGGGGACAGGAGGTACTATAGCAGAAAGTGAGGGGAAACAAGATTTCACATTTAAGTGTTTAACAGCCTGCTCATCCATTTAATTTGCACACCCGTTTTACTGGGGAGTGCACCTGTGTGAACCAGATCCACAGCAACCTAAAAAAGCTATAATGAAAAGAAAGAAGATACAGTAAAACTGACAGCTATACATATGCTTCTATTTAAGAATTCTGTTAACACTTTATGGAAGTTTTGTTTCTAAAAGATACCAAGATCTATCTAACACAAGACATCAGAAAATGAAGTTTTCTATTTTTAAATATATCTTAGAACCTTATATTGTTATGTATACTGGAAAATGTTTTTTTCTACATGCCACCTATATATTCACAGAATACTGAATCTTACAGACTATACTCTTTGTGTGAAAAGCACTACAGCAAAGAATAAATACATCTTTGTGGCAGATAAAGTTTTACCTCATTTAGAAATACGTTATTTAACAATAACTTACCATTTTCAGGCTGAGTTTTTTTAAGCGAGTCTATGAGAGTACTGACAGCTTTTAAAACAAATATGATTTCTGTTACTTGTTGCCTACAAAAGGAAGATGCAAATAGTCAGCAACCCATTTTTGTCTCAAGATTATAAATTTTCTGTGAAACTTACATAACATTAAAAAAAAAATGTAATGGAAACAGCTGCCTACCCAAAAAAAGGACATTAAGAGACCAAGGTTATTATTTGTCTTTAACTTTTCCACCATTATAGCTACTGCCAGCTAGGATGGCTTTCAATTTGATATTAGAGACAGTGATAGAGCATGTGTCTCAATCTGAAAATATTCATGTACATGATTAGCTGTAAAATGGAAAGAATCAGTTTCATCAGTCACAATCAAAAACTCCAAAAACATTTCAGCTGAGGTTAACTGAAATCTAAGTAAGTCCCCATTTGTGAAAGAATTTCCTTGTTCTCAGGGCAATTTCTGTTTCAAGAACAATTACTTGAGTAATGATTCACAATATTGCTGTTTATATATTTTGTCTTATTGTCAAGAAGACTCTCTACCTCTCAGTTTAGAAACTAGCTCTGCTAGGAATAAAGGGAAATTAGATTTCGGAAATATTATGTTAGAGATACCAGAAACATTCTTTGAACAACTGATAATATTTATTACTGAATTACACTCCTCTTTTCAGCGTAACAGCACTGAGTGTGACCACTATTTTTTTTAAAGTTTTTCTGTTCAATAGAAATTTGGTATAATTTTTTATTTGAAACATTTTTTGTATACTTCTCAAGCTTTAAATTGCATACATCCCCTACACACACCCATGCACACAAACACTTCTAACACAAATTAAATGATACAACAGACGTATTCTGAATACAGCCTTCTCAAAAGGTACTGGTAATACCCTTTATTTCCTAAGGGCATTGCACATACCGTGGAAGAGGACATTTGCCACTCAACCTCTCGTCTTCTATGTAGCGATGTAATACATCCTGTGACCTTTTCAAGAGCACAGAAAGTGCCATTCTAGAGATGTAGCCTTCCTGAGGAGTTGTGACTTTATTACTGAATGAAAACTGGAGCAGTGTTTCAAAACACACCTTAGAAAACTCCTCTCTCAATCGAATATCTATTTCCGCCTCTGTCAAAGTAAAACATCATAATTAATTGAGCACTGTGCATGCCAGAATATCAGATGTTGCATTTCAATCGGTTAATTATATTTTGCAAAAAGGTTATCAGTGCTGTAATATTAAAAAAACATTAACAGTGATATGGACAAATATTAAGAACACGTTCTAAGGAAGGGATGACTGTGTGATATTCAAAAATATGAAAGAACATTCAGCACATTCACTAATGTGTCACCAACTTAATGCTGCTTTAATAACAAAGTACGTCAAATGACATAACAAAAACAAAAGAAAAAAAGTGACAGGAACATCCCCAGTCCTACACCACCAGTACTAACATTTGCTACTGTACAGAGAAATGCTTTTGTGTTAATGTCTGGTTAGCCACAACATACAGTTATGCTAAGGTCATTTAATTTTTAAGTACTGGATATCATGCATGCCTTACAACTGTCTGAAATCACGGTCAAGTATTGCAACTGGCATAAAGGAAAGTAAACTATTAGAAAGTTCAGAAAAAAATCTGTAGAAACACAAATACAATATTATACGTGACACTGACGAAATAATAAGAAAATAGTAGTTAAAAAAAACAAAAGTGAAACTTCCACAAGACAATACAGTTTGAAGTGAATATATATCATGGAATTTCAGGTCTTTATCAGAATAAGTACTGTCAACATTTTTGTTACTGTCTAGCAGATATAAACCTATTTTTCTGTACCTTTTGTCATTCAGCTACTATACCTGTAAATGAAGATGACTGAGAGTGTATTGAGCCTTTATTGAGCATAGTCATTATTTGACCAACAAATTCCTTAGGAATAAAATTAGCATATGGCAGTATCTCCGTACTAATAAGCTGCACCACCTAAAATAAATTAAATAAGTTTATATTGGTTTTCTGAAGAGTAACCCTGCAATTCTGGTAGAAGACAAAAGAAACATTAAACAAAGAGACATGCCTAATGGAAATTTACAAAATCTTCCAATGCTGCTTTAAGAATTTGCAGATACATCTAAAAATTTTGGAACTGTGTTGAAGAGATTAAACTTGAACTACCAAACTTATTTTTCCTCTCATTTCTGAGTTTCTGAAGCAGTTTTCACTCAGATTTCCACTGAAATTTGACGCATATTCTTCCAGTCAAATTTACAGTTTTGAAAAGAGAATATTTGACAGTAGGAATCTCCCTCCCCCTCCACTCCATTCAATATTCTTACTATCACACCAACATGTATATCACATGCTTACAAAGTGACATCAGCAAAACAGAACATGTCAGCTAACTAAATAAGCTGAAGGCAACACACAAACTGAAATGTTTTTTCTGTCCTTGGTCTTGGTGCATTCACTCAGGAATAAAGTGTGTGTAGATCTCCGTAAACTAATGTATTAGATCTCATACTTCTGCAGATAGAACTGCTCTTGCTTTTTTTGCCCTGAAATCTTCATGTCCTAGCTAGAGATGATGAGACCAATCAGGTCTCTGCACCACACAAATCATCATTTCACCATTTATGCACATTTTTATTTAGTATTGAGAACACACCTAGATTGCAACAATGAATGCCACCTCTCAACAAAGAGAACATTCCCTTCAGGTTCAGTCATCAGCCTCCTTTGGTTTACAATTACCTATGTAATTGCTTGGCAATAACATAAGAAGTAAGAATCAGACAATGGATTAGAAGCAGAAAGACGTTCTGTTTTTTCTGCTTGTTTGAACTCATGTGGACAAGTTTTTGGCATGCAGCTTCCTATCCTTTGCAAAACCTGGAAGCAGTCAAATTTTGAGCCTCTGAATTTGTCTCCTTTTCAAATGGAAAAAAACATCTCAGAAAAATAACAATGGGCAACTTTGCCAAAAATTATTTGAAAACTAAATGCAACCTGTGAATGCCACTATCTTATGTGTTTGACAATATTACACATTTTCTATAGTCCTCTTACCTCAACATCAATACTCTCATTCTTCTGAAATTCTTGAATTGAGAGATTATCAGGAGGTGCACTAAAAATAAAGAAAATACATTATACTTCTAAATTCACAAAATGTGTAAGGAGCTAAGTATGAGAAAATGCATTAAAGTTTCACATGCATCAAGTTGGTACCGTTACATAAAAACTGTTAACATTTTAGAATAAAATCTTTGAATAATGATGATAAAAGTGGTTCAAAGGAAAACTGCAGTAAAATACAAAAATGAAGAGTTATGGCAACTGAGGACTTGCAGCACCGTTTTTCACATGTGTATCAAAATAATCTCTTCCGTCCTAAATTGTGCAGAACTCACAATACTTGCTCACATGCATCTGTGAAGGTCTCATTTAGGCATCAGAGGTTTTTTTTTTATTTTGTTTTTCCTTTTTCTCACTATGCATAATTTTCTTTGAGATTTTAAAAAATTTTTAGCAACCATTTATTTAGCAACTTAATTTTGTATTTTCTTTTGTGTTAATGAAACACACTTCTCATTAATGGGACATTACTATTTTGTTGATAACCAATACTTGTTCTCCTTATTAAAGAATTCTAGGAAAAGAGAAATTCATTTTATAAACAACAATTTTGAAGAATTTCAGAACTCTGTAATTCTTCCATTGTATACAAAAATCTACTTAAAGATAAAATGCCCAGAAGTGATTCAACCATGAATGTCACTCCATGCTTTATAAGATCTTACCTTGCCTGCTTGCAACTTTGGAAATCTTGTATCATTTGAAAGGAAACTTTACACTAGCTATCATTCACTAAGTTTTTTTCTGGTGAAGTTCTCTCATTTAATGAGTCATTCTTTTTCCTTACTGGAATACCTGCTAAGTAGACTCAAATTCCCTTTCCTTTGCTGGATTATGCTATTGCTTGCTGAGTTACTGAGGCAAGTTCTTCAGTAAGACATAAAGCATATTGTGAAAATGTAACATGTATTACATGTTATGTATGTACTTGTTACATGTTATGTACGTGTTCATGGTATGTGGTTACGTTGCACTCTTCATTAAATACCCTACTAATCTATCAGAAACAGCACACAGAAGTCTAGGTATCTATTCTGACCCAGTTATTCCATTCTTATTTTTCTGACATAAGAAGAAATTAAAACCCTCATGCCCATGATCCTTTGAAATTTAAAAAACTACTACAAAACTCACGGGGTTGTATGTTTAGTGTTTCTGTAACGTCTGATCTACATGGAAGGTAAATTTATTACAGAATAGATCGCTGCATTAACAACAAAAATCAGAGGTAAAGAAATGTAAAAAGTTTATATACTTCCATTTTGTTAAGTCCTCTCCTTTTCCCATAATTTTACGTTTTGTCTTTTTAAATAATACTTTAAGATCTTCAAATTGAGGAACAGCTTGGAAGTGTGACCATGTGAAAGGCACGGTTTGAAACATTTGAATTAAGATGGCGTCTGGTGCTTCAACTTGCTGTTGTTGTGTATGTTTGTATCTTACCATATTAGATGGTGCCTTATTTGCTCTGGAGAAGTACACTATTGAAAAGGCAGGAAAATGATATGGCCAATCTGCCACAGTTCCTGCCTGATTTACTGCAGCATGGGCAGATGTAAGGAGAACAGTGCTCTGGGCTGAACAAAGAGCCAAGCTGTTCTGTAAGCTGAGGAATTGGTGAAGTACGGCAGCAGCAAGCAGACCAGCATCCTTTGGCTCATTTCCAAACTCTCTCCTCAAAACTCCCAGTTTTTTCTCCACCCCCATGTCTCCCCAAGAAACAGCAGACGCATGCGGTGAGTAGTTCTGAGCCAGGCATGTGCTCACTAGAAAGGCAGCTGCCAGATATATGACCATGGATCTGTGCCAGCCTTTTCCACATAGGGGTACTCATCCAGGCCTTTCTCCTCCATCCCACTTTGATTTTCAGGAATGGTTGGAGCCTTCTAAATCTCATTCAAATGTGGTTTGTTCAGCTAACAGCTTTTTTTCTTCCCACTGTTCCTGTATGATGCTGACTGAGTCAAATAGATTTTTACTAGGCAGGGTTCTTCTTTTTCCTCTCTTTTGGGTACTTAGCATGAGACACCTGGATCTGAATCTGCACATTCACTGCTAATTTTCAGTTTTGACAACTGTGACAACATGTTCCTGTTTGCAAATAAAGATACTTCCCTGTCTCAAAGAGATTATACTGTATTTTTTTATTGGTTCATGTGCTAGGCTGTCAGCAAATTCAGTGTTACGTGTCGAAGCAAAGAATAAAATATTAAGTAGCTGTTCATTTTATACATTCTCTAGCATAAAAAAGATAAGGATGCAAACCCTTTATATAGAAACCCTTTAAATAGAAATATGAACAATTACAATGCATTCGTATGCAGGTCACGTTGAATTACATGGAAAGTTTTCATTCTGACACTTCCTTGTTTATGAATGACTGACTTTCTGAGCTGAGGTTTACTTTAAAGAGGTTTTATGACCCTTCTGCTCAGTCATCTATATCTGACCTACCATGTAGGTCACAGATGATGCTATATTCTTGTTCATGTAGCAAATAACTCCCAGGTAAATAGATTTCTGTAAGATGCCCAAACAAAACATCTATAGGCAAAGGCTTTGCTTGTTTGATTCAGTACAGCCAAACTGTACGGGAAGGGTCATGAGCCAGTGCAGATAAGAGGGAGTGTAATGCACACTGTAGCTCTGTGCAGGATTTTCCAGGTAAAGAGCTCCCAGCTGCTGCCCAGTGTCTAGGGAGGTCTTTAAAACCTAACAACAAAGAGCTAACAGCCACAGAGAGTCCTGCTGTGCACAGCAGCACTCTGCTCTGAAGCATCTTTTTGGAAAGTATTGATTTAATTCCCTCATGTAAGCACAGACTTCTGCTCTAGTAAATTATATATACGCATGTTTGTTGAATTTTATTTTATATAATGGCTTGACATGCTTCCGTGAAAGCCTCTGGGAAAGAAGTATGATATTAAATAATAAACAGACCAGCCTCTTACTAGAAGACAATTTTGTATAAATTGAGTTACGTGAAATGTATTTTTAAATGTCGTTTTGATTTATAATAAAAATCAAGATTATCAAGCCTTCTCAGCTGCAGCTTGCTTAAAGAAACAAGAATAATAACAACAAAACCTAAACTAAAAACAAAAAAGCTGAAGCTTTTTGCTTGAAAGCTGTTAATTCTCTGTAGCAATAACGTTTTCCTTTTCCATTTACCTGGGCTTTTCTGGCTGTATTTGAAATCTCTTGTGCAAAGCTCCAAAGGCCCTTTGTGCTGTCTTTGTACATTTCAAGCATCAGTGTGTATCTCATGTCATTCAGCTCCACGGCTAGTTTGCAAACCTATTCCTGCTTGAAAGAGCATGCAGAGGATGCTCACTGTTTTAAACACAGAGGTTCAGAGTTCTTTTTTTTTAAAGGGTTATTACCACACCACACCACCAACACCAACTCAATTTCACTGGTAGAAATAATATTAGGAGTTCTACAGATGTAATTTCTAGGACCACAGTGACTGGAAGAATTATGAGGTCAGAAAAAAAATGTTTAAAATGTTTGTTAGAAATTCAGAACACCAGTGAAATTGAAACTTCTTATGTCTACTCTAGGAAGATTTCTGGTTCCTCAGCCCAGTAGGGGCTTGGATGATATACACATAAAAATGAACAAAGGTAGAAGGAAAAATCAGCCAAATCAGCTACATGGTATTACTAACAGAACTGACTCTTTGTTCTCACTTAGAGGACAATGAGGCCCTGGCACAGTCTGCCCAGAGAAGCTTTTGGTGCCCCACCCCTGCACGTGTTCAAGGCCAGGTTGGATGGGGCCACCTGAGCTGGTGGGTAGCAGCCCTATCCATGGTAGGGGATGGGAACAGGCTGGGCTTTAAAGTCCCTTCCAACTCAAGCTATTCTGTGATTCTATGATTCTGTGACGACAGTAAGGGATTTTCAAGGTTTACAGAGATGCAGACATTTCTCATTTGGAACCACCTTGGAAGTGGTGAGCTCTGAAGAACAAGGTTCTGAAGGGCATGCTCAGAAGGAAGATATTTACAGTTTTGAGTGAAGTCTGGGAGAAGAAACAAACATAAAACATCTAGTGATAAAAATCCTGGAAAGAATAATGATACTGGCCTTTAACAGCAGAAGACCAGATAACTAGGAAATTATCCTGCTGTTATCCACATGGTTCCATGAACCACCAGCTTCTTTTGAACTTTAAAGCTTCTAAGCGAGAGAGCCAAAAAGTTTCATGCGACATCTGAGAAAAGCTTCAATTCTGATTAAAATGCTGGTCCCTTATATCCCTTTATATATGTAGCTTGTATATAAATGCACAGAATACACTCTGGTCTCTTAAGAGAGAAAGTCATAGTTAAGAAAAGACAGAAAATTTTTGGGTATCATAAATATACATAGAAGTAATGCCTCCTTTACCTCCAGAGAATATTCTCCCATGCATGACCGCTGGCAAAAGCTATTAACTAACTCCAACAGTTACTGTTTTTAGCAAGCAACATGTTAATATGGAATTTCTACAGTTAGAACAACTTTCAAGAAAAGTATAAATTGGTCGTTGTTAAGAAAAAGAAATTACACATTTGAGATGTATACAGAGATCTACACTGCAGATCTCTGACAGTCTTACTTCCCTGGACTTGTGAATGGTTCATAGCCAAAACTGAACCGTGGCCAATCTGGATCAGTTAAAAACATGCAAAATTAATGTATTTCATCTTTTCCACAGATATTTAGGAATAATTAATTTACAGCAAGTAGTAAGAAGTTTCTTCAGGAATACACACAAGTGAAGACACATTATCCCACAGTAACCTGAAAAATCTTCATTATAATTTTGTAAACCTCACAGTGGTATTGATTATAGCTGACTTGGACTGTTGGAATGGAATCTGGAATACTAACTGTAGCCAAAAACAAAACAAAAGAAGATACTGCAAAGATTATTATAAATTTAAGAAACAGTGAAGCAACAAAACAAACACTGACAACTTAAGTGTCTTTTCTGCACTCCTGATAGCCTTTTTTGATTTTCTGGTCTTTCTATCTACTATCATTTCTTTCACGTACATTCAAAGATGAAAGAAAAGATTTTCATACAACTACATTATAATCCTACTGGTGGAATTCCAAAGTCACTCATTATAACTATTTTTACCAACAGATATTCCTCTAACATTAAGTTTCATTGGTATCTCATTTTCATCTGTTTTGGGCAAGCTGCTATTTATTCATCACTAGTAAATACAGCTGTGTTTGGTTGCTGACTCCTGTATGTTTGCAAAGTATGCACACACAAATATACACTGAATATTAGTATTAGGTACAGAAGAACCCTGCTGTTTTCTATTAAAAAGAAAGATTAATTTATGACTGAAATCAACATAAAGAAATCAGGGAATTAATTTTTTCATATTCCACATTGCCCTTTAATCTGTGACACAATTAGATATACTCAGCTACTGCTGAAAGCTGTTTATCCACAAACACTCACAAAAGATGAAAATTCCTTACCCCTTCTATGCAGTACTCTACAATACCTAACCTTACGGTAAAAGGTTTCCTTGCTGTTTGTAACCTTTGATAACCTTTGCTACACTGAAATGCAATTTTACCCACTGTAAAGGGGCAAAAATAATTCTTTGCCCGTTTTCTGGAGACTTCCCAATGATATGTTCCTTCTTGTCCAACAAGCTTATAGGTCTAATTTCTGACCAATATCATTTTCCTTTTCTGATTTTTCTCAACACGCCCATGGCTACAGTGTCACTCTTAAAAGATTAAGCATATACATCTGTCAGTCTGTCTGCTAAACTTTTCACAAAGTACTATCAATATAGCTAGTTCTTTTCATCCTAATTGGAAAAAAAATTATGCTGCAGTTCTGATCTAACTGAATATATATCAGTAACTCTTTATCAGAACCCAATCCTTGGGAGTCCATATAGAATTTCTTGACCTGATCAGAAAGGCTATGTCTTGCATTCAGAGATCAGCTGAGCTTTTTCTTGCTTTGACATTTCACTTATTCAATGAACTTTTGTCTACTACTTACTGGAAGTATACTTTTTAAAACTAGATGAATTGGTTCAAATAACTAAGAATAAGGCTGTTTTTATTGGACTCTATTGGTACAAACGACTACATTAGTGAATAAATTACTTATAAATATTTTTGAGTTTAAAAAAAAAAAGGAAATTGCGTTTACCTTTTAGTGAATAAAAAGTCTTCAAATGTATTGGCTAACTCTGGCCACATGCTGTCAAATTTTCCAGAAGATGCATGCTGCCTTGCAACTGGTAGTCCAATAGAAAGCACTTTGAGAAGAGAGGAAACAGCGAGCTTCCATGTGCTTTCAGAAGGACAGGAGTACTTCAGACTAAGAGGTATTCTCAGCGTCTGCAAAATGAAAGATCAAACTAAATGTACAGTTGCTCAGAGAAATCTAAGGATAAGACTGATTTCTGCAGATCTCAGCAGACATTTAAATAGATGACAGTACACATCTCTACATTTTCTTTCTAAAATATAAAGACTATTTACCCTATATCAGCTGACTAAAGCACGGGTCTGTTAACAAAGTCAGAAACCAGATCTGATCCAATTACCAATTACACCATGAATCTACTCACTAATTCTCTTTATTACCATCCAGCTTTCTGGGAATCCCGGCAAATAGGCTTACCCAACATCCAACAGATCATATAAGTGTATTCTGAAGTTTAGTTCTATATCTAGGAAGTTCTCCCAAGGGCTTCCAAAGTTTTAAAAAGAGAGAAAAAAAGCCATACTGAATTTAAACTTTTCCCAAAACACAGAAGTTGATCTATGCTTGTGACCACTGCACGATATCTGGTCACTGTTGACTGTTAAACCACAGGAAGTTTAAAAGCAAAAAGAACTACTGAAATTCTAAAGAAAAAGGCTGCTACACAACTCAAATGTACAGCAGACAAAAACACGGCAAATTTGGGTAGAAAGAGATTCAGTAGCTATAAAAGAAACTCATTAACATGTTTAAATTAAGTTTATGTACTACATGCACTTTATTTACCACTTCTAGCATTGTTGGTCAACTGACAGTGAACTAACTAGGAGCTGATACCAAGTTATCTTGGATAACTAATTCTTTAATTTATATTTCAAATACGTATTACCTAAATTTGGGTATTACATATGTGATACCTTCAGTAAAGTTTCTGATTTAAGGAAAACAAAGGGAGAACTCACTCTCAAGAGAGGGTTAATTGTAATAAATTTTGGCAATGAGTTTGTAATCAGAGCTAGGATCTAACCCTGGAGATAAAAAAAAATATTTTCTTCTGATGCTTTTGCTCATGGAAGTGAAGTCTAATTCTAATATAAAACATGGGCTTCAGACAAATGAAGTGTTTTCACTTACTGAAGCACAGCACATTATTGTGAACCATCAAAAAAAGCAGCATTTTACACTAGTTTCACCTATCCATTTAAATCAGAAGTGGAAATCAATCGTAATAATTTTGAGATATAAACATTTAGTTCACAACAAATTCCAAATAATACCATGTAACTAATTTAAATACGTTAGTGTTTCTAAATTTCTGTATAGGAACAATCTGCATACAACTGGGTCATTACAAGCATGCTTAGGTCTGATATATTATTCACAAGACATTTACTACTACTTCCATTATTTGCCAAACTTATTTGCTAAAAACAAGGTCAAACAATTACGAGTTTGGCACTTTCACCTTGAAGGCACATCTGTGCACCCATAACATTTTATAGCAGTATCAATGACACATAAAGGCATTAAAAACAGACCAAAATAATGATTAAAGTGCACCTCCACAAAAATATGTGTGCCAGTTTTGTCTTCAGCCTTCTGCTGTATTTACTAAGAGGCCTGCTTTTCGGACTCTGGCACATAGTGCTTCCAAAGATTTCTGGTTTTTGCCCTAACACATTTGTTGATTTTTGTCTTAACTGAATTACTGATTATTATAACATGCAGCTAAAAAGTAATGCATACACCTTAAGCAATAGTGATTGCAGCACCACAAGAAATGACCTGCTGCTAATCTTCATAGACGATCAATTGTATTATTTACTGAAGCTTTAAGCTTCCCAGAAACTGTTTATCTACAGTGTATTAAAATAAAACTCCATTAATTCAGAGCATAAGCTGGATAATCCTTTACCTTAATAATGTTCTGAAGAACTTTCTCATTTACAACAGCTTTATGGCAAGCTGTTTTTTGGTACAAGTCCACAACCACTTCCAACGATCTCTCAGCAAATGGTACATAATTCAGTGCTACCCATTCCGCCTAGGAAAAAGACAGTAAATTACTGAGCTGTATGTGTGAAAGTATTAGTTAAGGAACAGAAATCGAATGCTTTGCATTGAACTCTCAGTTTAATGCATGCAAGTTTTGGTAAGAATATGGTCCAAGCAACAAAACTGCAAATACAACGTGGTCTGACTATGAAAATGTACTCTACATTGAAGTAAAGTACATTTAAATTGAAGAAATGTTGCACTCTAGGCAAGACAACTACATTAGGACAATCTTTAAGGAAATTTAACTCACCGGTGCAAAAAGTTGTATCTAGTGTGATTCCATTGTGTTGCAGGACAAATAGAATAAGAAGAATTAATACATAGATAACAGTTACCTCTTAGATTACACTGAATCAGATGCTCATGCTTAGTGAACAGCGGAGTACACAAATTTAAAATATATATATACTATTGAGTACGTCCTATTTCCCTACAGCACATGCAGTGCAAAAATTTGCAGCTTAAAGGAATTTTTCCGTTCAGAAATATGGTGTTTTTCTATTTAATTTAGTGTCAAATATAGGAGCAGATATTTTAGATGAATTCACTGGACAAATTCAGACATATTCATTATGTCTGGTGTCCAGAGAATCATTTTTTGACACGGAGAAATACAAAATACATGAAGAAAAACAAATAGAATTCAAGGTAGCAAAAGAAGATAAAAGCATGTAAAAACTAATAAATTAACTTATTACACAACAGGCATAGCACAGTTTTTACAGATAGAATAAATGCATCCTGCTAAAGAATATCTGTAGCTGAATTGTGTTTAGCAGCCAAATGAAACGGGTGAGACTTGTAATAAATTACCTGATTATACTTTGCATTTGCAATGTGCTTTGTTTCCAGCTGTCCATACTGTGGAGGCTTGCATGAAAATTCTACAAAGGCCAACAGCTGATCAAAGATTGCAGGATACATTATCTGCATATTTTCTGAGCCCACACATATAGCCTATATCAAAAGGAAAAACAAAAGCTTAATATTTTTCTTGTGCCTCAGCACAACAAGCTCCTACATAAAAATTCCCAAGTCTGTCTCTTTGCTATATTGGCTGATTATAAGGACTACTATTTTTTAGCTCACAAATGATTTTGCTACAGCACCATAATGCTAAAGTTCTAACAATACTATCAATATTAATAAACAGTTAATTAATCAATATTATTTAATAAATATGCAGAATTGTTATCACAGAACCATGCAGGAACTGAACTACACAAGAGTAACACTGCATAAAAGACAAAGTATAATTCTAACAGCTTAAGAATATTAGGTTTTGTGATTTTATTAAAGTTATAAGGATACTTGGCAATATATATGTAAGTAAACAAAGCTAATTGATTTTGTCTATTAAAAGGTATCTCTTCTTTACAAACTTTGCTTTGATATAACATATTTGTGGGTCATATAATTCCTGACTGTTGGTCCCAGCCACATCTTTTAAAAGATCTACTTTAAAGAGCATTTAAATCTCAGAAGTAATTCATACAAAGTTTCCCTAAGTAGTTAAAATTATGACTTACAGAAAGAAACATAAATAAAATCAGAATTATATCATTTTGGCATAGCTGAAACACATAGCCTTGTGTTAAAATTGGAAACACTTAGGAAGGGTGCCCTTCCAAGATGTCAGTGAAATATCATGTTGTCACAGTGTAATGATTTCCTGTTGCAATATAAATCCCAAGGAAAAGGCAGAGCATCTATTTTCAAAGCCAGATACAAAAATTCTATGAAGCTACTCCAATTATCTTCTGTCATTTTAAGACTTCCTCCCCACATCCCTCCTCCCAAAGCAAACAGCAAAGAAACAGTTTACTTATTGCTCCACAAAAAAAACCTTGATCTTGTACTGTCATTTTTCTCTGGGAAGGAATCAAATTCTCTTTCCATTAACTAAAGACCATTCACGACAAGTTGTGGCCAAACTAATTCAAGGAACCAACAGTTCAGAAGCTGTGATTGCAACCTCCATGCTTGGGCAGCCTCATGAGCTATGACATTCAAGGGGCTAGTGAATATCTCCAGTCCTCAGCTGAGAGAGGGAGTGAGCCAACACGGCCTGCAGGCATCACATCTCCAGATCACCCTAAGGCCCAGGGCACCTTCATGCAGTGCTGCACCAGAGCACTCCATTAAATGGCCTTTCTCCTTTCCTCGGCTTCCTGCAACTTAGAAAACACGTGCCCTAATGCCCCAAAAGCTTAACCAACATTATAAATGTGGTGGAATACTGCTCCTTCTAAAAAGCTACACTCTTTCTCTGGTATTTGAATCCAAGACTATGCTGACCTCAGAAAAAGATAGTTTGATGCTTGATATTCCCCTGTGTGACAAAACACTATGAGTTTAATTGCTGATCTGACATACTCCACATACTGTAGAACAGTTTCAGCTGACGTGCTGCTGCACCAAAGTCTTTGCATTAAATTTTAATAGGTTAATGCAAGATTGTATATGTAAGAAATTATTTTGTATAACACTACTTGGATTAGAAAGAGAAAAAGAACATCCAGAAATCCCTATATAAGTCCCATGCAGAAGTAATTCCCGTACACACCTTCAATATTGTCACTACTGCCACAAGACTTACATCTGCAATGACAAAGTAACTTTGCTATTCCTTCTAGTTTGCTAGATTTTCATTATTGTTCTTACTGCTGATCTAGGATCAGTGCTTCTTAAGATGCCACTTTTTCTTGTACTGGTGAACAAAAGCAATAACTACTACTTATTTAAAGTTTGTGCATCAGTAGGTTCTTATTCTTTGTATTTTATGAAACTTTTATAAACATTTTATTTTACAAATAGAAGCATTTTCTATTCAGTCTATTGATGAATTTTTCAGCTCTTAAAATTACCTGACACTAAAAAAAGAAGGTAGTAGGTCATTTGTCATTTTGTTTTTAAAAGTCACCTAACTAGGACTGATTTTCAAATAAATTTATATTTCTGACTGACAGCATATATCTTTTATCTAAGCAATTGAAAAATGCGAAAACAGCACAGCAAGCATGGAACCAAGGATGCTGAAAGTATCTTTAAGAGGTGCTTATAAAATAGAGTCATATTTACTGCACTGAGTGCACTTGTTTACATCCTTAAGTAAAGAGAGCTATAAATTAAAAAGTAATGGTTGGGCAACAATGAAGCACACACAAGCCCTAAAACAAACCACTTGGCTGATTGTTGTTTCCTGTAAAAATTGATATGGTACTTTACTTTTAGAAGTTTATGCTTTAAAATATCCTAGTACAAACCTTCAAATTTTTGAATAGTTCAAATTTATCAAACACCTCCCAGTGGAACTATTGTCAAGAAATTGTTATTTTTACAGCTCTCAGTGGCTAAGTCTCTACTAACTTTGTTGTAAATATAAACACAGCCTTAGGCACCACACCCACAGCTCAAGAGGTTTACATTCATACTGCCTACAGAGGCAGCATTCGCAGTTATTTGATAATAACCAAGTATGAATCTGTGTTCTTTTGCTTGATGAGGCAGCTGGCACACCACAGAGCTTACCCAGAGAGAATACAGGTAGGCAGTGAGAGCAAGCAGAGAATTCAGGCTTGAGTACAATTTTTAACTGAGCTAATGTGGTGAAGCAGGCACTTTACAGCAAAGAATGACAAGAAAACAAGTTCTAACAATAAATAAAAAGCAAAGGAACAATGGGTCTAAAATAGACTCAACATATGGAAGTCTGAAACATTTTTGTGCATTATAATGCCCTTTGCTAGTACAATCACATAATAAAATCTCTGTTAGACCAGTTAGGGACTCAGCTTTTAAAAAATACTTTTTTTCATGCTATTCCAACTGCCAAGTTGTTCCAGAGACTTTTACAAAATCGTAACTGACCTAAATCCTTCTGTATTAACAAAAAAACTTACTCCGATTCCATATTCAGGAGAGATTTTGTTTAAAAGAAGGTAGCAAATATTTACATATACCCCTTTAGCTACCACACTAGAGCCTGTGAGCACTCCTCAGTATTAATTCATTTCAACACAGGAAAAAGATACCATGGCATCCAGCAAACCTCTTGCACAGATGGCCTTTGCTGCACCTCCGCACTGGCAGACTGCCTTGTCATGTTCATTCCACCACGTTACGCAGCTGGGAGAGAAGATCACGAGACTTCACAGAACTTATCCACCTCCAAATATATTTTAACTTAGTTTTTAATGACTGTAGTGCTGTTCTGTTAGTAATGTAACTATAGATGGGATGGGGTTTACTGTATGATATTAGAGTGCCTAAGACTTCCTATTCAAGTCCTTATTTTCAAAGGCTTGTAGCTGCTATGTAACATGTCTTTGTTTCATTTGGGGATTTGGGCTAGAAAAAAGATTTGCTATTAAAAACTCATATCAAAAATGCTGGAAGGTCTTTCTTTGGAAAGTTCTGCGAACATTTTGTAGCTAAGAACTTATGGATAAAGGAGACCAGGAAAGAAACAAGAAAATCTGAGAAATGGAGGAATATATGGAATGATTAAATGGGGAAAATAAGACAGAAATGAAGAAATGAAAGACGTGAGAAAACACACGACTTCAGCAGGTCTGAGCTGCTGAATGGGACAAAGAATAAGCCTACCTGACTGCTGATCACTAGGGTGACAGTTTAACAAATACAACTGGTCTTCATGTTATTTACTCCTCCTACACAACGCTGAGATTTGCCACCAACTTGTATTCTTAACATACAGCCAGGAATGTTTTTAAATCCAAACCTAAATGTACAACTGCAAGATAATGATGTTGTCTTGCTTGCAAGGATTAAATAAGCAGGAGATAAGCCAATCTACACTAAGCTAAAAACAAAGTACTAAACCACTGCTTATTAGGTAGGCACCATGCATTCTATGAGCTGAATGAGACAGGATCTTGTCTGAGAATTTAAAAACAGGTATGTCCACACAGTTAAGTAGTCATAACATGAAAGCCAAAAGGGAGCGAAGTCAGGTCACACGGACAGTTTTAATTCTGGCATTTCCCAAACAGCACGGCTTTTCTTCTTGAAGCAGCACTTAATCTAAATACATTATCTCATTCAGTATCAATGCTGCTTCTTTTGAATAAATACGCTTTCTGAATTAATAATCATCTCTGGACAATGTTTTAAAAGTTCAGCATACTATTTTGCTGTTTTACTACCCTGTAAAAGGCCACACTGATTTGCTATTCACAAATTTGTTTGCATCAAGGATTCTTTTTGAAGATGAGTTCGACAGTGTGAGTTTGTTATGTAAAGATGCAGCATTATTCTTAACAGGTTAGCAAGAGGTAAGAAGGTGATCTGCTTGACACATTTTCAGATGTTATGTTCTGCGTGAACTCAAAGATCTCCTGATCATAATTCTCCTAGATTTTGTTTATAGCTGTACTTATAGGGCAACAGAAGAAATACTATTTGGTAGACTGCTTGGTAGACTCTCAGAACAGTACAATACTTAAATATTAGATAGACAAGAAAATGACTATAAAAACATCACCACGCTTAAGGTACTTCTGCAATCTGGCAAAAATGCATTTCATAACCATAATATCATTCCCCCTATGCAGAACATCTGAATTGCAACAGGAATGGAATTTTGTCTGTTCTAAGACAGTGCACTGTGCAAATGTAAGTAAAAAAATTAAGTTTAAGTCACCACACTAAAGCTCCAAGAAGAACTGAGACAGTGTTGTTTCCTTTTCACTATACATTTGAAGTTCCATTATTACCTTTTGTAAAACATCTAAAGCTGTAAGCACTGCTTCCTGTAAACTTGTCAGAACTGCTTCGGTGTAAGATGGAAGGATGAAAGGGGAAGCATCAGAACTGATTGGAACTGAAACTGCACCATGCAAAATGATACCCAGCTTTTGGAGATCATCCATGCTGAAACCAGTTTTGATGTGTTGGTAAAGAGCTGGGAATATCTGAATTAAAGCTGTAAGAAAAGGCTGGCTGGGAATGAAAGTCAATTTATCACAAGTAATTGGAGGCTTTGTACTTTCTGAACCAATCCTGTACCAGCTGTTCCAAGCTGCCCACCAAAGATTCAGATCTTCGATCTCATCTGTTACTGCAGGTAGTTCAGCTCCACTGTATCTTCCCATTCTTTCTCCTATGGAGTCAGTTCTCATGAATGATCTCCCAAGACTAGTGGCAGTTGTTGCTCCTACCACCACAGGTACAGAAACATTAATAGCAGGTGGTGTGTCAGGCTTCTCTGAGTCTCGGGCTGGAGAAACTATTTGTAAGATTTCCTGGAAGCTTTTCAGAGCAGCCAAGGAAACTTCATTATTTTTGCTGAGTGCTGCTGATTGAATGTGATCAAGAAGAACATCCCAGGCCTGGGAGAAGTCTCCTGTTAAAAAAAGAGGGATATTAAAAATAAAAATCAGCTTGGTATTGGTTTGCTATTTACCTGTCCAGTCATTAATCTCTGAAAGGCTGTTCATGTATTTGTTTCTGTAACACAGAGAGATTTCACAAGGTCATCTGATGGTTTCAATGCCTTTTAAAATAGGCCAATTCAACTGTAGCCAAAGAAAATGAATGCAAAAGACAAACACACAAGTATAAAGAATGAATGATGAAATTGAATCCACGCATGTATGTTGTTCAATTCTATGTAATAATATTTCACAATAGCTTGGTAAATGATCTAATGTTTAATTTCTATATTGAGAAGAAGAAACAGGGAAGCACCTAGCTTGATAAGAATGAAGAAGATGAGAACAGGTACCAAGGAACTATAGAAGTGAAAAGGAAGACTTTAAAAAAAGAGAAAGAAGATTTTAAAAAAATAGGAAGAAGAGATGGACCCACTTCAGTTATGTGCAATTAGGAAAACAGTAAACTCAAAATTACATCTGTTATCTAGACAATAGTTAAAGAATGGAAAGAAGGTAGAGTGAGTGGAGAAAAACAATCACTTGAAACAGCAGGTATTCTCAACATCTTTTGAGTCCCATCTCTTTGTTAAAACGTTCCCCTTCTTTTTTAATCCATATGCTTCACTGATTTTATGAGTTCTCTTTACATTGTAAGAGCATTGATAAACTTGACACATGGAAGCTGTGAAGAAGTTCTAGGTAGGCACTGTGCAATTTTAATAAGAAGGGGAAAAGTATGTTCTGAGAACCAAAAGAACACAAAAATTGTTATCAGGCTACTACAAGTTCAAGTTATTTGGCACTCAGAATTGTGATTATTGAAATTCAGTCTCAAGTACCATGGCATGGAAGATAAAGTTGTAAATGAAGTAAAATGTTTGGCTGTAAAGAATTAAAAACTCTGTAATGTTCATCATATGTGAGGTGAGACACAACCTAACACATCTCTGGGCAAACATTTTTACTCAGCTCTAACTGAAGAACAAACTGAGAGTTCCTAGCTGTACCTTTCAGTAACTTTAAATCTATTTTTTACCTAAAGGCTGCAGTAAGTATCTCCGGGTATTAAATATTCTTGCAACTCCAGCCAGTGTTAATACCCATGTTTCAGCCCACTGTTTCTCAGCTGTATCTCTTGAATGATGGATAAGGATGTTGCCTCCTCCTGATTCAATCTTCTCTTTGTCAGCTGTAGTAGAAGATTCTCGAACCCTATCCAGCAGGTGGAATAAAACCTGCAACATTCAGAAAAAGAAAAAAAAAAAAAAAAGCAACTTTTAAAACAACATAGTTGTATTCACTGTAAAACAAACAAACAAAAAAGTTCTCTGTTATTATGTATGTAATTGCGTCACCTTGAGAATTTCCTTATTTAAAACAGTGTGTGCAAAAGCTAAGAGTCAGAATCAGCCTACTGATGCTTACTTAAGAAAGGTCTAAATAGCATGGTCAGAGCCACTGAGAATAGTGCCAATTTGGATCTAGAGATCTCAGATACCTCACACAGTACAGCAGGCAACAGACTCCACAATACCCTGATTTTTCCTAAAGGCACAGACAATATGACTGTCATTTTAGGATTAGGGCACCTGACTGATCCTTTTAGAAAAAAGAGCCAAACAGAGGGCAAAACAAAGCTCACTCTAATATTAGATCAATTCAATCATGTGACCCCCAAATGTCATCATATTTTTGCAAAACAGGAGGAATCATTTGCCTGTTAAGGAAGGGAATGGCACTTTTATACAATGCCTGCATAAGAAAGAAAATATCAAGATACAAAAACTGCGTTTCATGAAAGGCTTTAAGGGCAAGAGAAAAGAAAATTAAAATAATAATAAAATGAGGTCAGATGTCTACCACCATATGTTATCTTTCACAGAATCTTAATAAACTAGTTAAGCAATATTAAGAAAAACAGCAAGCAAATGTGAATGTGAATGAAATTCTAAAGTAGAAGCTCACGTGTCATACCTTCCATATCACTGTGTGCCATGTTGAATGTTGCAACAAAGTTCCATGAGCACCAATGGTGGAAAACAATGTCTGCCCAGCACTCTTTCTAACTGCAGGTCGGGGATCCACACAGAGTTCTCCAAGTTTAGCATATAAACACAACCAAAGACAGTCAAACGGTGGTGCGGGATGAAAAGGTCTATTCAGAACCACCCCCTTTTCTTCTGCCTGCTTCTGCAACACTGCTTCTTCTTTGTTAAGTTCCTTTTCAATTATTTCACCTCTTTGGAAAAAATAATCTGAAATATTCCACTAGAAAATAAATAAAATACTATATTACACAATAAAATATTACAACATTCTTAATGATCATGAAATAAAATGTTTCTCATTCAGCACATAAATGCTACAAAGTGCAGAAAGTTGTTTCCTTGAGTCTTAGCTTATAAACCACAGTTACATTCTACAGACTAGAAAGGGAAACAATGTATTAACATTCGGAGACTGGTGAAAAAGCTCACAATCCACTACTACTTGTTTTACACTAAGTTTAAAATAGATTAAAGCTTATTCTATTTACGTATGATTCCAAATGACAGCATGAGACACCAGCAAGAAATAAAAAAAACAGGCTTTGGCTTTAACTTGTAGAATGGACTACAAATCATTTCCATTAATTAAAAAAAATTAAGTCAGAAGCAGCATCTCTGTAGGTTAATGTGAAACTCACCAACAAACCAATTGAAGTTAAGCTAATATTTAGCTCTTGATTGTGAAGACCAAAGCTTCCTGCAACTTCAACAACTATCTGCAGGCAAGTACATGGCATTGTTGGAAGAAAGTCGGTCACAACCAACTGAAGACACTGGAATGCAGTCCGTATTAAGGACTCTCTTAAAAAAAAAAACAAACAAAAAACAACACAAAATAAAAACAAAACACACTCACACTCTAATTTCAGATTTCCTCAAGAGCAAAGAAACTTTCTGAACAAAATACATCGGGAGATAGTATTATTTAAATACACATATTGATATTTATAAATCTTTGAAATGGATTGACATTTGAAATGGATGGCATTTGATTTTAAATGTTTTAAATAGACATTTTTTGAAATGCAACATTAAGTTGAAGCCTCAGCTTAAAAGAAGCAGGACAGATTAAATGTATTTTATTTAGTAAGAAAAATGTACATAATGGTAGTTGTACACGTTTCAGTACTATATATTATATTAGACGAAATCTTCTGAAAATATCTGCTGTTAAATACATATTTAATAAATATTTAGCCTTCAGAATTAAATTATGAATACAAACAGATAAAATACAAATGTAATATGGAAAACATTTGTGAGGAGGAATGTTATCTGTGAGCAGGAATGTTATCCAGAAACAAAATCTTGTTGTGTGAGAGACAAAATGAAGGAATCAAAAAAAGAGCACTGCAGTGTAGATAATGCAAAACAGGGAAGGCAGACTACTGCAGCTGCATTTAAATTTAGCTACTGGGCTTTTTAAATGCTTAATATTTAACACAGGAAAGAAAAAGCCAAATGTTTGTAACACAAAAACTGAATGTCCTTCAGAATACATATTCCAGGGGAAAAAAAATACTACCAACCAAACAGAACATAGATATGCTACTTACTTGTTTCAAAATCTCAGTTAAAAACACCATTTTTTTCCCCAATTAACTGAAAATGAATATCATAGGTGGGCCACTTCTATTGTATTGTAACAACCAACATAAGATGGAAGCCACAGAAATGCACACAAACTTGTGTGTGGACAGTAACATTATAACTATTACCTCCATGCAATAAGATGCATCCTACAAATGGATATCTATCCTACCATGAAAGTATTTATTCTTGCTATACTTATGGAAGAACTGTTCATACACTACTTTGCTCCATGTTAATTACACAGTTCTAGAAATTGAAACACACACAAAACTGGAGCACTTCCCTCTACCACAAAATTCCAGAAGCATGCACTCTTCAAGGACTCTAGAGGAAAAGGAAAGGAAGCAGGAAATGAAAGCATGGTTATACAGCTCATTTTGAAGAGCTGCATTGATGGGTAAGTAATTTCTTCTGTATTCAAATGCAAGGCCATTGCATTATCTCGTGTTTGGAAAAAGGTTTCAAAGTCCTTCATGCAAGTGGAAACAGCATGACAGTAAAATAAGTGTTCTAAAGGAAAAATTACCAAAATTACCAAAACTGAGTGTCTGCTGAGTAAAATTGCTCATAAGATAAAAATAGCACAAATTATGCTACTATCAAAATGGTTAAGTATGAAAATATAAGTAGAACTCTTTCTACTACTGTCACTTTACATGATTTAAATATTTTATTTTTAACACTTACCCCTGATCACTTCTTATTGCTCCCATGACTCCAAGGACTAATGGCCAACCAGGTCCTAAGCTGTCACCCTGACTCTGTAAAATCTGTAGCACACACTCCAACTGCTTGATCCTGATATCAGGATGACTGATGTTTGACAACTCCTTGAGTGGATTCAGTAGAAGTAGCTGCAGTCTCTAAAAGTAAACAGTAAATGTTATCGTCCTTAATATGCTCTAACTGATTCATAATTATTTTTACATATGATAAGTGAACCATACAGTACCAATTCCTAAGAAGTTTTTAGAGCAATCCAAATTGCTGGAATTCAGTGTCAGACAGGCCCTTCCAAAAAAACCTTTTTATAAAGTATCTCACAGCAGGAAATCTGCATTTTCTTTTTTTCTCCTGACCATTTCTCCAGGTTCCTACAGCATATCCCTACTACAGCATGCTGGCATGGTTGCATAAAAGCTATCGTGCAACTTTATACTCATCCAACAGATCTTAAAAATACTATTCACTGAACCCCAGTAAAAATATTAGAATATTTTACTAACAATTGATTGAATAGTTGTGATTCAGAAGGTTAGGCCATTTATTTCTTACATGCCACTACATCACATATTTACATACTGGAACATATAAAGCATTCTGGAATTATTTTGCACTCATGAAGGTGATCCACAATTTGTTCTAACAAACTCACATAATATTCAAGCCTCAGTACTCTTCATCATGCATTTGAAAAAGGAGAGGGTAGCTCATTAGAATGCACAAGGTGATTTTCAGTAGTTACAACTGAATGTTACAGCTGTAGGCTTTATAAACTCAATGGTAAAATTGCTTTATGAATGCCTCCTATTCACTGAACTGTAGAAAACTTCCTCTAGGGAAGATTCTGATTTCATGTTCATAATAAGTCCTAGAAAAGGAGGAAAGCAGTTTTTCATAAACTTACTTTACCTGATTCTGTGATAATGGAGGATCGTGGCTGAATGTCAGTCCTGCTTTGATAAGAGAGGTTAAAGCTTCTGCTCCCCATTCTCTCATTCTGGAGTTGGGATGCTGACAAACCTGAAAGCATAACAGTGTTTTGTTTGAAGGCACTTTTATTTAATCAAGATTTAAGCATATGTAATATATAAAAATTGAACATTTAAATTGTAGTGGACGTTTAGATAAAATATTCTAGTAAAATATTTTTTTAGAACAATGCAACAGATCTCTAAATGTTAAAATCATGTTTAATACTAAGAACAAATAAAAATATTATCTTTCGGACAGACATACCTTCTGAGTAAGGAAGCAACAGGAAGCAGGGAAAGACACAGAAGGAAACAAATTGAAAAGCACAGTAATTCAAGTCAAAACATTCTTTAAAAATCAATATACTAGCTGCTATTTCAGATATTCATAGTTTAAAAATTACCAAACAAGTCTTCAATGACTGTCTGAAACTCTTGGGTTTAACTCAACCTTGAGCTACTATAAAATTCTAAATTTCATTTTTCACACACAGCCTAACATTCATAATCAAGCAAGGGAGCATGACGTTGACTAACACAATACGTGTCTGCCCTTCTATGAACTCACAGAAAGTAACTACATAATGAATGTAAAATAAACCTAAACATTACTATTTCAAAAACATGACAAAATGACAGTGATCATTCTTTCACTCTTAAGTTTCAGATGTCTTTCTTCCTCTTTGACTCCTAGTTACCTGAGCCTACTTGTTTTTTTAATTGCTTTTTCAGAGGAAATTAAAAACACTATGCATAGATACACAGTAATTGTACTTGCAATCCTGTGTCTGTTAGCCTCAAATAAATAAGGCATTTACAGCCTCACTGACTTCAAAACAATTATTTCCATCCACGCTTCCTGCCTGAGCTTAGCTGGTATGAGAATCCAGTGTCTTTCAAAATCCAAGGCAAGATCATAAGGAAGGAAGATGGTTTAGACTGGTGTGGGTTGGCGGACTGTTTTGTTATTAGACACCAGCCAAACTGAAATGGAGAACAAAGCAGAAAAGCTAGCTTCATGTTAAAAAACACAGAACAGAAATAGCTCGTCTCCTAAATTAATTTATTTTTGTTACTTGACATAAAATGATAGAATTTGAACTACATCATGGTGCTCTGAATCTGATCAGATAATCAGTTTCAGAAACAGGGAAAGAATTCTTCCTTCAGGTTGTGTTTAACTGAATTTGCAGCTGGTGCTTTCTCTTTCCTCACTGTACCTCAAAGACATAGGTTTAAATGGAAATAATGCAGTACTTTAAAATCAATTGCATCTCCTGAAAAAATAGTGGCAAATATTCATGATGGATGATAGACTGAAACAGACTGCTTACGACAGGAAAACACGGACTCCCACGGTGTGGATGGTGAACCTTATATTTCTCTTATCTTCCAAGACTTCCATGTCTACTTTAAGTCGTTAAACCTTTAAGTATCCAATTTTTTTTTCTCCTAGATGTGAGACTATTTGGAGATGATCTCCATAAACAAGATCAGAGATAGCCAATCCTTAATACTGTTTAAAATAATGCACTGGTTCAAAGGAAGCAGGAAAATGAGGAAGATAATCTCTTTGCTTGCACTGGGTTTATATGGCAAGGTATAGCGTGGGGGGCGGGAGCGGGAGGTGGGTAGGTGCTGCTGGAATGCCTTTTGTGAGAAGTGACCAGGAGCTGCTCTATGGTGGGAACTGCCAGTTCCAGCCAGCTTCAGTGGGGACCCACTGCTGACCAAAGCTGAGCTGGTCAGAGAGGTTGGTGGCACACTTCTGTGATAACGTATTTAAGAAAAGGTTAAAAGAAAAAAAAAAAGAAAACAAAGGTGAAATGCTGTGCAGCAGCTATTAGAGCGTGTAGTGAGAAAACGTGAGAGAAACAACTCTGCAGGTAGAAAAATCGAAGGAGTGCTCAACACACTGGAGAAGAGATTCCCCCAGCAGCCCATGGAGTACCTCAGCAGAGCAGATCTCCATGTGCAGCCCAGGAAGAAGCCCATGCATGAGGATAAAGCCTGAAAGAAGCTACAGCCCATTAAGAACCCCTACAGGAGCAGGATCACAGACAGATCTGTGGTCCATGGAGAGAAGCCCACAAGCCCACACAGGAGCAGGTTGTCTGGCACAAACTGCAGCCCACAGAGGGCCCATTGTGGAGCAGTCTTGAGGAACTGCATCCCAAAGGAAGGATCCACTTTGGGGCTGTTCATGAAGGACTGTATCCTATGTGAGGGTTACCACACTGCAGCAAGGGAAGAGAGTGAGGAGGCAGGAGCAACAGAGAAAATGCAGTGGATGGACCACAACCCCCATTGCCCATTCTCTGCATTTCTGTGGGTGTGGAAGACACAGAAGAATCAGGAGTGAAGCTGAACTCAGGAAAAGAGAGAGGCTGTTCAGAAGGTGGTTGTAGTTTTATTTTCCAACTCTGTTGCTTTACTCAGTTACTAATTGTCAATAATCTTCCCAAAGTCACCTGTTTAACCCACGACAGTAATCAGTGACCAATCTCTCTGTCCTTATCTTGATCCATGAGCTTTGTACAACTTACTTTCTCCTCCTATCTTGCTGAAAGATGGAATGAGTGAGCAATTAGGTGAGCACTTTGGAGCCAGCCAAGGTTAATCCACTACAGTCCTTTACTGTCTTTAAATATACCTCACTCTTCTACCTATTCCTGCAGAGGATTAAAACTTTACAAGTACACTCTGTAATCTGGTTTTAGTTTCAAATTCAAAATATAAGATCTTTTCCTTGACAAAAGCAATTTTTCATCTAGGAATTAAAATATTTACTTTACAAATGACACCTATTTTGCTATTTTTATAATGGTATTCTCTTCAAGAAACAACTGAAAGTACTACTTCACATTTATTAAAAACAAACAAGAAAACTTTGTTGGTTTATCTAATGGCTTCAATCTATTCAGTAAATACATCTTAAAATCTCTCACATATTTGCACCACTTGACTCCAAAATGAAAACTCTTCGTGTTGCAGTAAATATAACGCATATATGGTGCATAAATACTGACAGCACCGTAAAGACAAAGTCAGTAAGAGCTATAAAATACTGAAATTTAAATATTTACATTAAAATTGCAATGCAAACTGCAAAAACATATAAAACAACACATTTAAACACACTTTAGATTAAAAAAAAAAACATACACTTCAAAAATGCGCTGTCATAAGGCAATACCTTATTGCACGCTAATTTCTAGTGCAATTAGTTACCTCCAGAAGATGACCCGTCAGAGGTCTCCAAAGAATCTCAATCCTGTGCATGTTAACTAGTCCTGTTTCCAGTAATTTAGCAACAGCAAAAAGGGATGGCTCCTTAGTAAAAGAGAATTTGAATACGTGACTTTGAGATAACTCAGATGATGTCAGAGACATTCACTACACTATGATTTGTAAATCAAGATGTAACTAGTCTCCACCGGAGTGCTGTATTTCATAAGCTATTATCACAGCATTTACAGCCCAGGTAACATAGCTGGGAAGTTTCCACAGCATCTGCAGTACTTCATGAGAAGCCACAAGGGGGTAGCAACAGCATATAATCAAGAGCACATTTTTCCTAATTTTTCATGGTTTTCTCCAAAACCTTGTTTTTACACTCATAGGCCTCCCTAAGACCAGTTTTATAACATATTTAACTAGCAAAACAGTCTCTTACCCATCACAACTTGCAAAGACAAAAATTGTATATGAACAAATAAAATAAAACGTTTTTCTCCCTACTCTTTATATTTCCCATTCTTCAAATACATATGCAAACACTGATTTGTTGAAGCTTATGATAAATCAATGAACATATATTAAAAAATGATTTGCAATGTAATTTTTCCCATTTCCATTGAATTTTAATTCTAATTTTCAACTAATTTTAGACACAACATTTACTTATTTTAATTTATTCTCTTTTTCTGCCTTGTTACTGTAATTGTCAAATATTACAAAGAACATTTTCTGTCATGATTATCTCTATGGTAATAGATCAAGTAAAAACTTTCAGAAATTCTCATCTGGGATTAGATTATGACTAGGAGAAGACATGCTCAATTTTCTTCAATCACAGGATCTTTAACGATCCTAGGCTAGGTTTATTTTCTCTGGCTGACAGGAATACTATTATTTCCCCAGGCAAGTAAGAATCAGTAGGTTTTTAATACCTGAGTTGTCATGCTTTATCTGAAGCGTATTATTAAAAACATACTGAAAATGAACACCTAACAGAACATAGTGTGCCAGACAGCAGTTCTGACCTCTGAAATTACAAGGGCTTTCTAGAGTTTTATCTATTCCCAATCTGATTAATAGAAACATTATTTTTTATTCTGGAGTAAAAAATCAGATATGTTGCTGTCTTAATATTGGAAACAGTTAGTTTATAAGACAAATATACAAGTACATCACACACACACACAAAAAAAAAAAGCAAGAAGAAAATAGAGAACTCTTTTTATACCTTATTGTTTCCATAGGCCATATCCATGGCTTCCAGAGACAAGGAACAAAGGGCATTTATTAAGTGATGCAAAGATACATCATCAAGGTACCTGAAAAATAACAACTATCAAAACACTGTCAAGTTTGATACACACATGTTTTTTTAATTATAAGGTTTCTTACTGCGAGCTTTCAAAAAGTCTTGATAGTATGCTGGATATAACTGGTAGATCAGTCATAACTGCTGTAGTCAGAACCTTGAAAAAAGACAGAAACGTATCTTACAGACTGCAACAGAAAATACCACATAATCGTTAACTATAAAATGTACAACTTTGCTTACTGTGCTGGGCCCTTCTACAGCTCTTCCAGGTTTTAAGGCACCCCCAACACCAGGTTTCAGTCCCAGAATCCACACAAGATGCTGAAATACACAAAGATGGTTTTCAGCATGAAAACTTCCTCAAGCAGCAGCAAAACTAACGTTCTATTCAAGCTAGCTGGTAGCTTTCCAACTAAACAAAATTCAAGGAAAACGCCACAGTATTTACTCAAGGCAATTAAAATATGCCTGGATCAGAATCAAAGCTTTTTCTATTGGTCACATAAAAATTCAAAACCAATGTATGTATAATGAAAAAGTAAGGTATCAGAAACCATAAATACTTCCTGTTATACCTGAAGAGTAGCCAAGACAAGTTGCCACGATGTACCAAGAACAGCCCCATGGCAGTGAGCTAAGTTGAGCAATGTCCTCATACACTGGATATTTTTTGAAGTCAGCTGGAAAAAAAAAAAAAAAATATATATATATATACAGTTTTATTACTACAGTAATAGTATTTCTAGAGGCACTAGTTTTGACTGGAATAGAGTTAGAGCTTCAAAGCAGCTCACAGTGTGCTATAACTTCTTTTTTTTTTAAACTTACTGAACGGCCTTTATCCCAATCCACAAGTTCTCTACCTTTTGAACCTTTTGATTCTCTTCTCCCACCCTGATGTGGCGATAGGGCTGAGTGGGAAACTAAGCACCTGTGTTGTGCTTAGCTGTCTTCTAGGGCCCTCCAGGGTTAAGCCATGACACTAGGAAGGCTGCAATTTTTTACTAAACAGTTTAAAGACTATATCTTGCCTGCACTGGTGCAATATATCTTATTTTAGGTGAGTAATTCAGTATCTCTCCTTCTCTCAATCTTATCTTCCTGGGCTTGAATACAATTTGATCAGTGCCATCTCCTCCCAATATCACATTATTATCGAAGACACAAAGTCAATTACCTCAGATTTAAATGCATCTTCTCTATAAAATCCAAGTCAATCTTATGACAAAACATAAGCAAACTTTTATATATAGGCACAAATGACAGCTGAGACCCAAGTTTTTTTCAAACAACAGATTCAGGCTGAATAAAAGCAGTTTCTGAAACATGCTGCCCTGGACAGCCATCCAAAAGAAAGCTTAGGATAATATTTCATTCTTTGTAAGAATGCTGCTTACCTATTGCCACTTTTGAGACATACTAAGATGCAAAAAGAAGTTAGTAAGCAAGACAGGTATCACTCAGAAGTTGTACTTACCATTACTGTTCCTTGTGGCTGAAGAGCTAAGGGCTGTCCTACTGCCACAACTTGCTGATGAGACTCGCTTGAGGGACTGATCATTTGAACATTCTGTCCCTGAATGGAATATGCTAGAGGAAAATGAAAAAATATCCAAATTTAAAGTCCAGTACCTGCTGTAGTAACAACAACCACCACTCCTGAGTAGTGGCAAACCTCCTGAAATTATTTTCACAGTATTAGCTTTAAGATAGCTGACTTCAATTAAGTCTTTGGTTGTATGCAGACTACTACATCATTATGCTACAGGGTTAAATGAACCAGTACTAATTCCTCCCTCCCTTTTTCTATATAAATATATTTTATGTCAAGAGTAAAATTTTTTGCTAAGTTGGTAAGATAAGCCTCAGGCTACGTCTCAACTGGGTTATCTGCAGTTATTATCTATTAGTAGTGTAACTGTGTGCTACCACTGTAATATGGCACTAAGAAAATGAAGATTTCACAAGTGTTACATAGTGATGTCTTCCCAATACAAGACACCACAGATCCTTTTTGTAACTCATCCGTAAAACAAACCTAAATAAAATAGCATTATCAGTGCTATGTCTTCACAGAAGTTAGCATACCTCAGTAATATGTACTGCTTTGTATACCTGTGGTCTCATAATACACTTAGTTTGTTCATGGCCTAGAGGAAAGATTCTGGTCTTTGTTCTAATACTGAAGTATTTTTGTTTTAAGAGATCTAATGTTAAATCCACCTGCTTGTTCACCAGGCAGTTGCAGTTCTGGCTACAGAGCAATTAATTTTCAAAATTAGCAAGAGTATATTCTCAACTGGCATATCCAATGATTTAAAACACCATCTCAGGATGTAGAAAGCATCAACTGAATCTCTTGTAAGCTGAACAGCATCCAGAACTTAAGACCTATTTATGCAGTAAGTTCTATTAATCACTATACAACTGTAGAAAAAAACACAGCACACTACAAATGCACAATATTCTAGTCAGTGACTATCTGAGTTTCCTGCCAAGGACTTTTTCAGAATTTGAATGCCTTAATTACATATCCTAACAGATCTTTAGGATGATAGACAGACCTCCTTAGAAGGTAAATTTCTGACATACACTAAGCATCTGGGGAGGTTTTAGGCTAGTTAAAATTATACCTAATACTTGTACATCTTTACACAGAATCACAGAATGGCCAGGGTTGGAAGAATCATGAATCATGAATCAAGGATCATGAATCGCCAACCCCCCGCCACATGCAGGACCACCAACCTCCCCATTTAATACCAGACCAGGCTGCCCGGGGCCCCATCCAATCTGGCCTAGAACATCTCTAGGGATGGGGCATCCACAACCTCTCTGGGCAGTCTGTGCCAGCACCTCACCACTCTCTCTGTAAAGAACTTCCCCCTGACATCCAACCTAAATCTTCCCTCCCTCAACTTAAAATCATTTCCCCTTGTCCTGCTGTTATCTACCCTTTCAAAGAGTTGATTCCCCTCCTGTTTGTAGGTTCCCTTTAGGTATTGAAAGCCTGCAATGAGGTCACCTCACAGCCTTCTTTTCTCCAGGCTGAACAAGCCCAGCTTCCTCAGCCTGTCTTCGTAGGGGAGGTGCTCCAGTCCCCTGATCACCTTTGTGGTCCTCCTCTGGACCCTCTCCAACAGCTCTCTTTCTTTCTTGTACTGGGGGCTCCAGACCTGGACACAGTACTCCAGATGGGGCCTCACAAGAGCAGAATAGAGGGGGACAATCACCTCCCTGTCCCTGCTGGCCAACCCTCTTCTGAAGGAAGTCAACTACATCCTGAGAAAATCTGGGTTTAGATACGTTTACAGCCATAAACTGGAGCACAGCCATAAACTGCAGCATGGGAAGTTCCTCACCAATATGCAAAGAAACTTCTTCACGGTAAGGGTGACAGAACTCTGGAACAGACTGCATAGGGAGGCCGTGGATTCTCCTTCTCTGGAGATATTCAAGATCCACCTGGATGCCTACCTGTGCAGCCTGCTGTAGGGAGCCTGCTTTGCAGGAGAGCTGGACTAGATGATCTCTGGAGGTCCCTTCCAGCCCCTACAATTCCATGATTCTGTGATTGATGGACAACATGTAGAGCAAAATTAAACACATTTGAACAACAGAGGAAAATCTATATACTTACATTTGCTGGACAGAGCTGCAGTTGTGCTATTTAATACAGTAAGAGCATAGTGAGGAGGTAAGGATCCCTTGCAAATGGCAGTAATGAAGGCATCTCTTGATGTTACAAGACCTAGTCTTCCACAGAGTGCAGCCATAGTTAATTCTGCTTTTAAAATATTTTCAGTAGCAGCTTCATCAGTGCTGAAACGGTAGACAATTTTTTACTAAGAATTAACCCATGGCACAGAAGCAGCTAACGCAAGCTGAAATCAATGAGAACTCATACTTTGAAATTGGAGCACCATAAAAAATGAAGAACAAGCACAACCAATCAACAATATTCTTCAGAACCATTTCCTATAAAACTGTTCCTTAGTTATGAATGACTTCACAAAAGAGACTATGAGGAGATATTTAACACCAATTTCAGAAAATAGTGTTTGATAAGAAAAAGACTCTTTGAAAGCCATGCAATAGTTACTAAAGTTATTAGTAAACAGCTCCTCCATTTGAAAGACTGTATATTAATACCAATTGTTGAAATATTAACAAGTACTGAGATTCTTATCAACACTAATCACAATGTGAGTAGAATCACTTCATCATATTGAAATATTCAGTCAAATTAAAAAAGAATACGATTTAAATAGTTTAAATGGAAGTCTTTGAAATTCAAATTAATTTTCCTATATTGAAGTACAATAATGGTTCCATGTAGTTTACACTTAGTAGATCTTCACTCAGCCTCGCAATCACCAACCCCCAGACATCTTCTTGCATACTAAGAATAGCTCTCTCAAACAACAGTCAACCAATAGACAAACTCAGTCCAAAGTATAACTGAGAGTATCATCACTGAAAGATCACGAGAAATGGAAGATCAAATACCTTGCATCAAGTAGGAGAGACAATGCAGCAAGAAGACCACACCAACATGCATTTACCATTTCTTCCCAGACAGCTCTGCTAACTTGAAATAAATACATAATTATTTAAAGTAGAAACAAATAATAGAAAGTTTCTAAACTAAAGTATTATTACAAACATACAGTGTCTGGTGTTGGAACTTTAAAGTTTGTGTGTGTATATATACACAAACACACATATGTATATATAAATACACATGCACAGATAAATGTATGCATGCACTCACACCATTACCAGTTAAACAGACCGATTTATAGCAATATTGCTAAGGTAAAAATGTAACGAGTGCAATGCTTATTCTAAATTACATTTCAAAAAATCCTACAGAGTTATACAAAACTATTTTTAATCCTTTTCTACAAAAATAAGCGTGCATGTATGCATAAGTGCATAACGGTGGAATATCAGGCAAACAAGAAACATTCTACTGAAATTCTGCAGTGCAGGAACTATCTCTCCCCTTGTCTTTTAGCGCTTTCCAGGCTACTGGATATATACAGACACTTCATTTCACTTACGTATTAAGAAACAAAACTGGCCTAACAAAATTAAAATGTGCCTGTAAGTCCACAGAGCTTTCTTTTTCCCTCAACCACTACAAGACGCAGGCCAAACTTGTGCTGCTTGCAGCACCATGGAGAGCTCTGCAGCATTCACGGAGAGCTCTGCGATTGGCAGGGACTGCAGGCGATGATTAAAGCAGCTAATAGAATCTCCGCTGCCAGGTACACAAGTCAGCATGTCATGAGATGGATCTTCTGCTTATACATATACAGACTCTCCATATCTTGCACAGATACAAGCTCATATTATTTCTGGTTTTAAATAAATTATGCTCTTCCCATATACTTGTAACTCACTTAAAATCTTTCCATTAGAATATTTTTCTTTTCATCTCATTAGTAGAAAAACAGCTTTCTTGTAGTACAGTTTTAACTGGCACATTTCTTTCAGTTAAGTTTCTTCTCAAGAAGAGTAAAGGACACAGGAAGGAAGAAAAACCATTCTGGAGAACAAAATGCCTAATCTCTCTCTCACATTCCCAAAACAAGTAAAACAGTATCAGTTCACCATAATGAATGTAGAGCTAAGGTGCTAGAGGACAAAAGCATTATATCAAGCCAAGTTTTGTAAGACTACTGCTGTTCTGTTACAAAATAAACCAAAAAAACAAAACCCTCTTCCATCATTAAAAATATTTATGTAAGATTTTAAAGCAATAAATTCAAGCAACAAAGCATTAACTCCCCTAATCCAACTTTACATAAAACTGTTGCACATTAGACAGCATTTGCATTTTCAAATACCTAGTTCTTTGTCTGACTGGTCAGATAAAGACTGCAAGTCCTGATGCTCTGAAGACTGTGCTGGTAATGAAGTTGTCTCTGCTGTGCTTTGACTGCCTGTTTCTGCCTCTCCCAACTCTCCTTCAATCATGGTAGTGATACCACGGACAAGATCCAGTAAACAGTGAAATGCCACTGACATAGCATAGCCTTCAGGAATTGTAGGTGGTTCCACTTTGTCCAGCATTTCCAAACTGAAAAATCGAAAGCATTACAGGTAGGTACGTAATAGTACAACTGTGATTAAAAACAGCAACAAAAACAAAGATTCCAAATCAATACCAAGTGCTAACAGGCCCCAAATAACCTTGACAATTTACAGCAACTCGAGAAAATCAACTACTTGATTAAGTAGCTAATTAAAAAGGTAAATGAAGCATTAAGTAAAATAGTAAATTAAAGTACAGTTATGAAGTTAACACATACAGTAGGTATCACTCAATAAATTATTCTCCTTTTTTTACAATACTTATAGTTGCTGAAAGTGAATGTGTCCCAAAGAACATAATTACGTAGAAAAAAAACAGAAGAAATAGGTCAGAAAGTCACAACAGTGGAAACACTCTTATAACAAAATTGAGGATAAGCCAAATGTTCCAAGCTGAGTCCATACAACCAGAAAAGTCTGCCACAGCAAGATAATATATGAGTAAATATTCATAAACTGCATGCATAGTAGACAATGGCAGTTACTTGTACAAAGAGGAAATGCTGGATTTCACTGCAAGATATCATGCAGTTAAATCGTCATCATTCTAGAAATGCAGCCTCATTATCACTTTTCTTCATATTTTACCTTAGAAGATTGTAAAGAGTTGCTGGGCTAAAAGCCCAACAAGAAACAGGCCATAGCTGCTGCTGCAGCAGTATCTGCACAAGCAAAGGTGGTCTGTTAAAGAAACGACCTGCTATCCCAACAACTACTGTTCCAGGATTAGCTTTACAAAACATTCTTAAACAGATTAGGCATTCCAACTGCAGTATACCAAGGATTTTATACTCTAGTTCCTCCACAGCTTTCTGCCCAAAGATTCACCTTTCCCTGAGCATGTAATGCTTCACTTATTAATTCAACTTTCCTGAAGATGGCTGTTTGAGGCAGCTGAGGGAATATGAAGTATAGGTAGATCAAATGTTCAACTTTTCTTTCTACTCTTAAAGGCATAATGGAGGGCAGAAGAAACAGTACTCATTTCATATTGAAAAAGTAGCAACAAAAATAAATAAAGAGTAGTTGTAACACCAAAAACAGAGCAGTAACTGTGTAAAGTGTGATGACTCCATAAAAGCAAATAGTAACAGTGTCGTTACAAATAAAGCATAGCTTTGTCAACTGTTTGGCATTCAGACAGGTACTGATTTCAACACCCGAATCTTGGATCAGCACTACAACACAGGATTTCCATACTGAATTTAGCTTATGCCTGACTATGTTGGAGAATGTGGCACAGAGGAAAAAAAGGCTAAGATGAAGTAAGTCAAACAACCTCTGCTGCAAAAAATGATAAGTAAAGCCATTAAATTAGCTTACAATCAAATATATCATTTATCAAAATGTTACAGATTTCAGAAATTGCAACTTTATTTTTTGAAGTCTCGAGTCTGATTTCTGTAACACCTATTTTAAGTTGAACCGCTAAAAGTGACGTTTGGGGGATAAGAGGTCAGCTGAAAAAAGGTACAACTGAATGGATTCCAAAGATGGGAAAGAAGGCATCAGACAAAAAAAAACAAAAAACCAATAGTGATCCAGGCTTAGGTGGTGGTCTGAAAAAAGCAACACACTCACATGTAGGAAAACAAGCTTCCTGAAGGGAGGTTATGATGAGCAGGGGTTTGGCCCCATAGAAAATGGCCACAAGTTGTACCAGAGGAGGTTTAGGTTAAACATAAAGAAAAACATTTTCTCTCAGAGAGTGGTCAAGCACTGGAATGGCTGCCCAGGGACGTGGTGCAGTCACCGTCCCTGGCAGTGCTCAAGAGGCATCTGGATGAGGAGCTACAAGATGTGGTTTAGTAGCCTGTGGTAGCAGTGGTAATGGGAGGACAGTTGGACTAGATGGTCTTGTAGGTCCTTTCCAACCTTGTGATTCTATGATTCTAAGCAATGTTAAAAGTGGAGGGTAACACAGTCCAACTAAGGAAGTCCCTAAATTCTGCTCCAGCAGTTGTGTAATGCAGTCACAATGTAGTGCTTTTCCCTCTTCCCTCCATCAATACATTTCATCCTCTACTTACAAGCATATGGCTCTAATTAAAATTACTAATGGGTTTAATAGTTACAGCACGCCTGTGTGGTGGAGATCATACACACTAACTTCCCAGGATGGGAAAGCAAACTGCAGAATAGAGTTGTTAGTTCCATAGGAATGGCCACGAAAAATGTTGAATGCAAGTCTTCATGCATTCAAAAGAAAACAGCCCCACTCCAGGAAAAAAACTCTGCTAGCTCTGTTCGCAGAGGTCCCCAATTAAATCAATATCTGGTACAATACATATACAATATCTGGTAATTTTATGAAAATCTAATGTCAGCAGTAACAGAAAATCAAAGCACGGGTGTAACCCAAATCTACAGTAATATTGTAAGTGCAGAGACTACTGGAGAAACAAACTGCTGACAAGACAGAGTAGCAATAATTCCATTATCTTTCACAGAAGAAAAACAGAATGCAAAAATTACAGAATGCAAAAATTACTGAGACAGATCACGGACTCACTGGAGAGATCCAAAGTTAAGATGCAAGCAAATTCAAAGTAGAGCATAGGACACCTGAATGGAGGCAGCAAAATGTTTCTTTCTGAAATTGTTATGTACTATACCAAGATCTAAAAGCAGAGTTAAGTCAGCAACACTACAGTAAAAATAAAATCCAACAGATGCTACAGCTGTAGAGGATATTCAGAATGGAATCCAGATAATTTGGACAAAACAGTTGAAAATTAGACCACCTCTCTCTGCTGAAAAGAAGAAAATTCATAATATATCTCAATATCAGTGAAATGAACAGCTCATTATTCACTAATTAACAAAAAAAAAAAGCCTTGGACAAGTTGTAAATAAAAGTATTTGTTATATATTTTTTCAGAAAGATAGTGGTACTTACTAGGTAGCTTTAGCACTGCCTTGTACTGTTACATTCAAGATAGGTATCCAGGTACCTCTGTATTCAAAGGCAGGTAATACAGTTGCACCACCTCCCATTCCAAGCACTCCTGGGTTTGTCTGTGCTGATCCAGTGCTCCCTGATGCATTGCTTCCTGTGCAGGAAAACCAAGGGTTAAAATTAACCATTCTCACAATCTAACTTTAGTAATCAGCAAACACTTAATTTTTTTCTACAATTCTTCTACACTTAATTTTTTAACTTCAAATACACTGATTAATCTGAGATGCCCTACTTGATGCATCATCACCAACACAAAAAACTACTTTTGAGCTCCCCCTGCTGTCTACAACACGGTACAATGTGCAAAGTAATCAGTTTAAAAGGCACGGCTGTTCTGTAGTAACTGCCACCCCTTAGTACTTTAACTCAGAATAAAATGTGTCTGTATCACGCATAGCAGCATTCTTAACACTGAACAAACTGAACTTCAGTGGTCTCGATGAAATAATAAATATTTCAGTGAAGATTCAATCAGTTTTCAAATTTAAGGACTATTTGAGTTGCACTTAGATCTCAGTAGTAGTAGGAAAGAGAGGATGATCATTTCAAGAATAAAGATCATCACTGACTTTAAATATTTCAGAAATGTAGGGAATATGAAGAGAACTGAAGTGTCTGAATCTGTTCCATGCCAAAGCACAAGAAAAAAAACATCAGGGAAGACCCAATCAGCAGATAGGAGGTACTGGTTCCAACTCAAGAAAAAAAAAAAATATTAAAAAATCCCCAGATGAAAGGACAAGGAAGTTTGTACATATATGGTTCCTGTACGTGGAAAGAAGAATACATGAGCTAGAAGGATGTGCCATAAATTTAGGTTCTATCTGTACAGACAATGCAGAAAAAAGGCAGAGTTCCAAAGGTGACTCACAGCACCTATCACAGAATCACAGAATCACAGAATCACCCGGGTTGGAAGGGACCTCAAGGATCATGTAGTACCTACCAACAGCATAACAGTGTGCTCTCTTGTAAGCACGCTGAGAAGCTAAATTACTAATTCAGGCAGTATGAATACAAGCAGAAACCTATGTATATACACTTCAATATAGTAAAGATTAACAGATTAAAAAAAAAGAAAAAGTCACACTGCTAAACTGGTAAACCACACGCTGCCACTGATGTGAAAGTAATTACAGCAGTGTGGTTTTCTGCAATCCTACCGAAAGCAGTTAAAATATTCTTTTCAACACGATTCGTTACAGCAGTAAAAAAGAATGACAAAAAACTTTGGCAGATGCAGCTTTCACCTTTTCATAAAATCATAGAATGGTTTGGGTTGGAAGGACCTTGAAGGCCACCCAGTTCCAACTCCCTGCTCTGAGCAGGGCTGCCACACACCAGCTTAGGCTGCCCAGCACCCCATCCAACTTAGTCTTGAGTGCCTCCGTGGATGGGGCACCCACAGCTTCTCTGGGCAGACTGTTCCAGAGCTTCACCACTTTCTAGTTAAAGAATTTCCTCCTAACAGCTAATCTAAATCTCTCCTCTTTGAGTTTAAAGCTATTCCCCCATTCCCTATCACTGTCAGACTATGTCAGTCTGAATGTCAGTCCCCGTCCTTATAAGTTACACACAAGTACTGAAAGGCCACAGTGAGAATATTCTCTTCTCCTAAGCAAGGCCAGCTCAACTTTTCTTCATAGGTGTAATCCTCCAGCCCTGTGAACATCTTCTTGGACCTCCTCTGGACCCACTCCACATCTTTCCTGTGCTGGGGTCCCCAGGCCTGAATGCAGTACTCTAAATGAGGTCTCACAAGGGCAGAGTAGAGGGGGACAATCCTCTCCCTCTCCCTGCTGGCCACTCCTCTTTTGATGAAGCCCAGGATATGGTTGGCCTTCTGAGCCACTGATGGTTCATATCCTGCTTTCCATCCACTACAACCCACAAGTCCTTCTCCCCCTCATGGCTTTTGCAGGAAAAAAGAGGGCCCCAACTGGCACTGTTTTTATCTATAGACACAAGAGAGAAATCCTTCTGATTTTCTGTCTGAAAACCCTGATACAAAATTGGGCCCTGGTGGGCTGGTAAGCACAGGCCAGCAATATGTCTTGGCAGAGGTACAGCCAGCAGATCAAGGGAATTGATTACCTCACTCTGCTCAGCATTTCTTAGACTGCATCTAGATTCTGCATCCAGTTTTGGCCCTACGCTACAAGGCATGCACAAACTGCAGTGTGTTTAGAGGAGGCTTGTGAAACTGGTAGGGCGATGGAGCACTTGTACTGTGAGTGAGGAGGAGGAAGAGCTGACTACATTCAGTGTGGAGAAATATCTCTGGGAGAACCTCAAAGCAGCTGCACCCTGCTCTGTGAAGATGTCAACCAGAAGAGCTCCAGGCACACTGGAGTGATGCATGGTGGGACAGAAGGAACTAATTGTCTTACATTGCATCACAAGGGGTACAGACCCATAAGGAAAGAAACAGGCAGGAGAGGAGGCTGTCCAGAGAGGTTCTGCAGTCTCCACTGTTAGAGGTCCCCAAGAGCTGACTGGGTAACACTCTGAGCAGTGTGACACAGCTTTGTGCAAAAGGCATGAACCAACTACCCTGTTGCAAAAGCAAAGCTCAAAAGCCAATCAGGTGGGTACAACCACCTGCTACCAAAGGACTGTCATTACAGTCAGAAGATTCCATTCAAAAATCAAGTTGCATTGATCTGTTCTTTGTCAGCTGTGGCCATAGAAGAAAAAGCGTAGACGAGAGATGTATGAGAAAGAGACATGAAAATCACTCAGTCAGAGAGAAGTAAAAAGGTAAAGGAGAAACAAACTGAAGTGACAAACGAGGGAAATAATGATACTACTAAAAGTATGAGCCTGCTGCAATGCCATTTTACATGAATGGAAAGTGTAAGTTTTGAGGAGAAGTTGAATGGTTTTCTTTGTGCATGTGTTTTATGATGAAAACTGCTCTTCTAATTTTCTTAAATGGATTAAACTAATCCAGAAATAATATTCCATTAACAGTTTCCATACACGTAACTATCAAACAACTACTAACAAGTTAATTAATGTAAATAATATTAACATCAAATTTTAATTCAAGCTTCATCAGGGAAATATGGAAAGTATGTGTCTAAGCCCAGATTTTTTAATGTTTATTTATTTAATAGCAGACATGCTTCCAGAACCCTGGGAAGAAATAGAAAGCCCTAAATCAGATGTGACTACTTGCAAAGGGATTAACAGGAAGACCACTCCTTCTTATAATAAATAAAATATACCTAGAGAAATGCCACAACTCTGGTTGCACAAAAAGATAATCAAGTTTATTTTCAGTAAGCAACTACTTTCATTTTACAGAAAACACAAAGATCATCTGTAAAACACAGAGCAGTCTTTATATCCTTTGGCTTCCTCAGTCCAGTTTTGCCCTTAAAAATCCAGAAGAATATACTATTGTCTCTCAAAATAGGAAGCAAATGCATGCTGGCTAAAACTTCACTTGTACACAGCCCTAAGTGACATCCCTCCCAGTCAGACAGGATTCAATTTATAGTAGTTAGAAATCAGAAATAAATGTCTCAATTTCTTTCTGAAAAGATGTGAACCAAAGAGCTTGGTAGCTGTAGAAACAGATACATATGCAACTATGCTGTTTGAGGGCTAAATCTTCTCCATGATACAGGTATGTAACATCATCTATTGTAGCAGATCTGAAAATTATTGATCTGAAAGTTTCAGTTGCTCTGAAAGTAATGCCTCATACTTTATTATGTTGGCCCAGAGCATCAGAGGCAGATGTTGGTGGTATGGCAGTAGAAGCTGAACCTTCCCGCCAATATTCCATTCCATTTTGTTTCTGTGTGACAGATGGCAGCAGAGGGGCAGTCTGACAGAACAGTGCCTGACATGGAAGTGTGTATGAAGCAGAAGTGTGGAATTTAATTCCTCCATGCAGAAAAAATTGCACCCACTGACATTCATTGATGATGTTTGCTGAATGTTTATGGAGACCAAACAGTGGGTGTGAGCACAGTGAAGCTGTGGGCAGTGCATTTCAACAGCACTGACAGTAACAGTGGATCACCTCCACTGGTGCAAATTTTTACAAGTGTGGCATGCAGGGTTTTGCTCACTGCTGGCAAAAACACAGAGCTAATGGTGGTACGTCAAAAAATAGTGTTTTGCAGCTGAGAATTTGCTCTATCAAATAAGGCTACTGGACTCTTTGTATCTATCATATTTTCCATGGAAATAAACATGGGGCATTACTTTTGGAGTGAGCTACAGTGTTTGTTTCAAGCTAGCTTTCCAGATAAATAAACAATAAAGAACAGGACTATATCAAACCAAGCATATACTGAATCAAATCAGAATTTACTGTTACAAGAAAAAAAAAAAAAAAACAACAATTGGAAAATTAAAACTATAATAAGGACAAAGCCTTACCAGTTTGGTTTGGTGTCACTGATGTATTCCCTGTACTTGGTACAAGAAATAGAGATTGGATGAAGGACCCCAATGCATTCACAATATCCCGGAAAACTTTAGTGGAATGTTGCTTCATATCATAGGACTGACAAAAGGACCTGAAAAGTATTTTATAAAATATTATAAAATATTTTAAATATATTTAAATATATTTATAAAATATAAATATTTTATAAAATATTATAAAATATAATAACCATTTGATAAAGTAGAGACTAAATTTTTTTTTGCAAATCAGATCATTTACCCCATCAGTTTGGGATGTTTTTTGGGAATATGCAAATAACTGTAATTCATCCCTTCCTGAGTAATCAGCATTGCCTAATGCTTTATATACAATTACCTTCAGGAGTTTATTGAATGTAAGTTTCATCCTATTTAAAATGTTTTAGAAAGCATTTTCCAGCAGAGAAAAATAACAAGATTTCTTAAAATGTAAGTAGGAGGGAAACTTGCTGTACGTTATACCTTAATAGCTGAGGCTGCACACAAAGCCTGTGAATAGATTCTACTGCAACAGCTCTTAGCCACTGTGGTTTGTCTGCATCCAGAAACTTAACCAGCAATGACAGAAATATTTCACATTCCGTCACCTAAAATACAGAGTCATTATAGTCACTGAATTAAAAGAAAAAACTTTATGCAAAATATCTTTCCTGAATTCTTGTGTCAGCTTAAAACAAGTTATGCACAGGTTTAAAAAACAAACAAACAAACAAACAACTACACTTCAACAAGCATTTACTCAAAAAACATACAAAAACCATACCTAATACTTACAGTATTGTTTTGACAAGATAACAGTACATATGCAATTGTATTAAAGGCTTTAAAATTCTTTATAGATACTTTTACAAAATAAATGCACTACAGTAAACAAATGAAAAAAAAAAAAAAGATTATTTTTTAAGTAAATGCCTAACACTTAGAAGGTAAAGAACAGCTGAACATGTGTTTTTTATGAACATTCTGTCAACAGCTTTAGCAGCAGAGGTCCAAAGCCTCTTAGCAATTACTGACAAAGCACAGTAGTTAACAATATTTAAAGCCAGGTAAACAATATAAGATCAAAACTGGCTTAACCAAATCAGTCCATTACAAAAAAGACAACACTTAACCTATTCTAAGAATTTATGAAAGTCTACAGTTAACAAAATCATATGTGCATCATACAGGTAAACACAAATATCTATAAGAGAATGATGATTTTTACACTTTTCTTCTTTCAAGTACAAGTCAGCATTTCCCAGCTATTAACTTATGCTCTTATTTACCACAGCAATGGCATATACATGGCAAAACAGGATTGCATAAGGAAAATTTGAATGCATTTCTTACCAGCAAACTGTAAAACTGCTTAATCAAAACAGAAACTACTCTTAGCAAGCGCATACAGATGGGAAAATATGGTTTTTCCACTGGTGCTGGGGAAGATGATGTGCTAGAACCTTGTCTGAATTTTATATTTGGGGAGAAGAGCTTTATAACGAGAGGGCATACTCTTTCTTTAAGAAGAAAACTGAATTCTTGATGCTGAAAGAAAATGAAAGAAAAATTAATGCTCAAAACAAACTATTAACAGATATTCTTCAATTGCCATCAGTAGCACTGATTATGCATCTTATTTACATGCACTGTTAAGATCAGGGACTCTGAAGTCATGTAAATCCTGGTATCAATTAAATGTTAATGAAATGAAAAGAGTGGCAGATACTGTAAAGTTCCCAAAAAGCATGATGAAATCACACTCTCAGGTACATACTTGCACTCCTCTTCCTATATCTTGCAAACAACAATAGCCTGCAAGTACATCATTTTTTTAAATATTAAGCTTTTTAATTTAGACAACATCTGCTAAAATATGCTACCATAAGATTATGGTGCCTTAGTATGCAGTAGATGCACACAAATCAGAGTTATAATTGCTTCTACTTTGCAAGTGTTGCAGAGTTAATGTTCTCATTAAGTTACACAGCTCAATCATCAAAAGTTTTATAAATAATTCAAGATAGGAAAATACAACTTCATAGGGATACAACTGGCAAAATAAAATATGAAACAGAGCAACACGTTCCACAAAGTGCACAAACTGAATGTGATGAAAAAAAAAAGGTGGTCAAAAAGCACGCACTACTTCCCCATCAACTAAAAGATCAAACATGTAATAGTCTGTTTCTTTTGAAAGTGGTATTCATGCTAAATTAAAGAGTTAATGATGTGGAAATATTACTACACACGTGAAGAAAAGAGTTCCTAATTTTCTCTCTGATAACTACTCACTTGTAAAAACACTTGTGGAAAGTCATTGAGGACTGACTCAAGAAGTTCAAGGCCAAAAGTTCGGGTCATTTCTGTCATACCAACAAGCCAGTAAGGAGCATCAGCATTAACTAACTGACAAAGATCCTTAAAAAGAAACACAGTAACATTTAGATTTTCTTCAGAGTCCTTTGCTGTAATAATTTCCTGAGTCTACAACAATATCTACACACATTGTATCCTTGGTAAGTAATAATTTCAAAGCAATTTTTCCTCAAACACATCTTTGACTTAAGTTCTTATGAAAATAAATAAATAAATAAATAAAATAAAATTACTTATTTGCTGGTATCCCTGCAGTAATTCTGTTTGTTCTTGCCCTCAAAAAATATCTCAAGATTAGTGACTTTGCAAAGCCAAGAAATTTTTATTGGTACGCTGAATACAATTCTTACTTTGTGTCACACATTTTACACTAATATACATTACTAAAGACAAAAAGTATGACTATGCTAGCAGTGTGTGGCTAAAGCAAATCAGAACTTCAAACTAAATGTCAACATGCATACTTAAGATTCATAATAAAACATTTTCTTACGCCACTTTGTCTTCATTTTCCAACCATCCCTCTTGGATACAGCATATTATTGCCAATTATAATAAATACTTATAAGAAGGCCTGAAGCTCTAGTTAAGGACCTCACCAATATGCCAAAAAACAAATTTCTGAAATTTCTTACAGAGACAGAGAGCACCCAATCATAACTGCAAATGTGTAAGCATATGCTGCCCAACTACCTGAAAAAGCATATATGCATCTTTAGCACATGGCTTCAGAGTACTGACAGATCTTCTGTTACTATTTCCTTGAACTGCAACTGGCTGTTCAATAATGTCTGTGTGAAAACAAAAATCAGTTTTGTGAACCAAGGAACTGTTCAAAATCAAGTATACATTAAGTGTTCTCACAAAGAGGTTCTAAAAGAATGGCCAGATAATTCTTCAACAGCTTATTATTTCTATAGAAATAGAGATTAGATGGAATACCACAGATCACGAATACCAAGCTCTTCTTTACAGTGAATGCCCTCTTTAGAACCACTGTTGTGGCCTATTCCACACTAAGTGTTCTAAGGTATCTTCACTTTAATTGGCTCCCTCACCCCAAACTCCTCCACAATACTAACCTGAAGATAAGCTCTCACACTTTGGGGAAAAAAAAAAAAAAAAAGATTTTATTTATTATTTTATATCAATCTCTCTATATAGTACTGACTTGGATTGGCACTGAAGATTTCATCACTCGTAAATACAAGTCAATGTACAAAAGACCATAAAAATGAATAATGCTTAGATCTTTCATAATGTTATCTGAAAAAGATAAACACTTGATGTCTGCTGAAACAGGCTAAAACAAGCAAGCAGAGGAAAAAGTATGCCCACCTTTGTATCGTTCATCTTCAGCAACCACTCTCTCAAACACCACAGTAACTACCTGTCGCACTGTAGCTGCTGCAGTGTTATTTGTGATATTATCTTTTGTGAAGTGCAATCGAAAGCAAAGTACAATTGCCTGAAAATAAATAAATAAACAGATCACCTCACAGCAGTAAATCTTCACCTTTTAGCTAAGTCAAGATAGCTGACTGGGGAATATTTTCCACTATCGTTTCTCAAAAGGTTGCCTGAAAAAACCTAGTTCAATCACTTTAAATTTGAAGAACCAGAATAACTTTTATGGATTATTCTAGCCAAAATTCTCTTTAGTAATCCTCCCTAACAGTAAACTAGAAGTGGTAATAACAGATGATGCTACAATGCACCAATAAAACAGTAACCATCATACTGAGAATACACAGCAATCAACTACATAAAACAATTTGTATGAACATTAAGGTCAATAAGGACATCAGAATTATACAGCTAATTACAGAAACATTAGGCAACTTCAAAGCTAAAACATGAATAACTTTACACAGTTCCTCTACTACATAAATCACAACACTTAAATAACCACGTTAGCTGGGCTGCTATCGTTCCTCCCAAGGTGCATATTTTGATGCGCCATTGTGCAGGCAGTGACCTGAATATTGTTGGCCATTGGATTTGTTATTGCATCTAACACATAATTTCATAATTAATGGTCTTATAATGAATTTTTAAGATTAACATCTGTATGTGTGGTAAAACCTGTATTTCTTGCTCTTCTACCTTTATTTCATGTCCTTGCACTTGCATGAACTTCAGCCACACCCAGGTACGGTGCCATGTGCTGCCATACAAGAGTCACAATTTTCTTTTACTTCCTTCTTTTTGTTGTAAACCATCTGTGGACTCCACTTAGATTATGCCATATGTCATACACTTCTGGACTTTCAAAAAATGTTGCATTACCTGCAGGTTAATCTAACTTCAATGTGCATATTAAGGGTATCTACAAGAAGGTTTACCAGTAATTTTCATAATTTCAATCACTCAGGCTGAAACATGAATATTCAACACACATCTGCCTCAAACTCATTTTCTTCATGAACTTTTCAACATGGAAAAAAAAACCTTTCAAACAGTTCTCCAAATAATCTTGTGGGAAAAAGCAAACAAACCAACCCATTATTTTATTCATATTAATTAAGGCTTACATTTGACCAAGTGAGAAACTCTAGTGATTCCAAGCCTTGGATAAAAACATCAATTTTTTTTCTTGTCTCAGACAAAGCCTGCCCCAAATTGACCATATAGTTCTAAAACACACTAGTTTTCATTTTGCTGTAAACAATTTGTTAACAGTGCAGCAATTAGATTTTCTAGTAATCGTAGCATGCAAACATTTGCCTCCTTCTACAGCCTAAATTCAATCTATAACATTACCACACATTGCTTTAGAACATCTGCTACTGAGAATCCTACATTCTAAATGATAAACATTTTCTTCAAAAAATATTCTTTTGCCCTAGAACACAGCATCTAATATGGAAAATGAGCAGCATGTGGAATAAAGAAACAAGTTGGTGATGCAGTGTCTTTGCCATAGTGCAAATACCCAAGACAAAACAGACAGACCGGCAAATCCTTCAGTCCTCAGTAAATTTCCATTCTGCCATCTACACATTTTTCCATTATCTTTCTGCCTTCAGCAGACCTTTATAACCCAGCCTTCATTTCTTTTCATGTTTTTCCTTTCCTTGCTTAGATTAATAATGCTTTTAGTAACTACTCATCTAACTGCAAAGATATTTCTCCAAAATCCGAAGGAAAGAATAACTTGAATCCCTTCATCAGAGCAGAACACCTTAAAAATATTCTTGAATTCTGTTCTCTCAAGGAAACACAAAACTGTCCCATATTAAACCAATACATGGAAGACAAAGAAAACAAATATGGAAGCTTGCAATGATCTGTCAAAAAAAAATCCTTATGTTAAAAAAAGAATACATACATAGAATCAAGAAATTAAACTTCATAATTTGCAGATGGATATGACAAATATAACGAGATCAGAATACTTGTGTTTTTTTGTTTCAGCTAGAACACAATATCCAAAGCAGTACTAGTTTAAAATTGTACCATAACATTATTTCAATTCTGACTGAAAAAGCAATAACTGTACAACTTATGTGATAGATTTAAGGCAGGGTGGGGGGCAGCTTCTAATATTTGCTGCATTCATGACAGCTTAAGCTGTGCTATGTGTGCTTATTTCAGTTTGAACACATAGAAAACAAATTTAGAAATAGAAATAGAAAACCAGAAGAATAAGCATTACCCAGTGTTTTTTATTTAATGTTCCCATTAGGTTAGGAATCTTTATAGTGGAGGAATTAAAAGACAGAGTGAAAAGGAAGATAAAAGAAATCCTATTTTCACGGTTCAGTATAAAGCCAATACAGAGTAAAAAAATTCAAGATATCTCCCTCTTCTTCCATTATTTCCAAGAGCTTTATACATAAAACTTCTTCCCAGTTTTCCTCTAGGATATTATAACTACTATAGTTGGCACTAACATGTACTTACCTTGGATAGTGCTTCATCGTGCACAACTGTATTGGTTGTTAAAAGAACAAGAACTGTCTGAAGCAATTTCAGTTCTTCAAGACTATTTTCCATCAGTTGCCAAAGCATGTTTATAATGTTTCCTGCTGCAGCCTACCAAAAAGAAGTCATTTTGTGCCAATAATTATGATGTTTATATATCATTTATGTCATGTGTACACCTGTCAGAATAGCACTTTCATAATTGTATGTAATTGAGTATCACAGAAATCTCTTAATGTATGGTCCAAATTCAAGAGGGTTCTTTATTTTCTGCTCATATCAGAGAAATAACAGTATAATTTTATACTATGCAAACACAAATAAATATTTAGATATATTATTTTCACCAACTTCTTAACACACTTTATGGCAGCACCATAATATATCACCTCATGTTGCAATAAATGTGTATACATTTATTTTGTTTTTAAAATAACACACAACAAACAATACAGAGCATTTTCACATAGAATAAATTTCATGGATACAGTCTTAATCAGGTTTATTAGTGACTGTTCCTATGCTACAAGAAAGCAAACTAAAAGTGCTTTTTTTTGAATGTTCACAAATTCCTTCTAGAAGTTATTATTTTTCTCCACCACATTTTTTTTAATGATGAAAAAGGTTTTCTTTTAAATTACATTTTTAAATCAAAATGAGCAATATATTTTGCAAACTGTGTTCAGTGTAACATAAAGAGCCTCCTCAAAAAAAAACAACTCATCTTCAGTTTGAGCTCTGTGCTACTCACATTGAAACACTTAGTAATTTATGTAAAGATTGATCTTACCTCTGAAACAACTTCATGGGACATGAGTCTTTGTATGGCTGCTAGACACAGCTGAGTGATCTTTGGTTCCTTTGTTCCACAACCCATGAGAAAAGGCTGAACTACCTCTGAGCTGTTCTCTTTCAGTGCTTTTGAAAAGAGACATGGAAACAGTCAATTTTTAATACTTTGAAGAATACAATGCAAAATCTGTTAATCATAGCTATTATGAAAATTTAATCTCCAGTCCTGGAAATCTGGGAGTTACTTCTGTACCACAGGGAAAAGCCAAATGAAGAAAGGCAATGGGCTGCCAAGGCATGCCTCCATAACCACCATTAATGCTCTAATTCCAAATATCTTCTATCCTTTTTCAACATTTTGTCTTTGAGCAACTTTCCAAATCCAAAATGTCTACTTAGAGCCAATTTGGTTTCTTACAAACTGTAAGATTCTGCCTACACCAAAGCTCTTGCTGTTTGCACAGTGCTGACCTCTCTCTTTCCAGGAGCCTTTTCCTTCTGCTCTGCATCACCTCAGAACTGTATTCAAAAGCGACACAATGTGTGGCACAAGAAATGCCAAATACTTGAAAAGAAGAAGAGCAAAATGCCATCAACAAAACTGCCGGAGAATCCTGGACACAGGTCCTGGATAAACACATCCAGCTGTGAATTTTTTAACCAGTGTGTAAATGTGAATGGGTAGCTTCCTGAAGAGAAGTATTTTCATCAAAACTACCAGTTTCAGAAACTTTTCTTTTTTAAAGGAAATAAAACTTCACAATTAATAGAACATAGCACACTGACATTTTAAAAAATGTTTTCCCCATAAGAGCATTTCTAGAAATAAAAGCTTAGCTTCATAAAATTAAAAAAGAAAATCTTTCTGAAAGATCAAAGCAATGCACACCCAGACCAATGAATGCTTTTCTGCTTTCTGTATAGCATTGTTGAATCATAGAATCATAGGATCACAAGTTTGGAAATGGCCTGTAAGATCATCCAGTCCAACCGTCTCCTCATCACCATTGCCACCACAAGCACTAAACCACATCACGCAGCACGTCGTCCAGATGCCTCTTGAGCACTGCCAGGGACGGTGACTCCACCACCTCCCTGGGCAGCCATTCCAGTGCCTGACCACCCTCTGAGAGAAAAAGTTCTTCCTTATGTCCAACCTAAACCTCCTCTGATACAACTTGCAGCCATTACCCCGTGTCCTGCTCGTTGCCTGGGAGAAGAGGCCAAATCCCTCTTCACCACAACCTCCCTTCAGGAAGTTGTAGAGTGCAATGAGGTCTCCCCTGAGCCTCCTCTTCTCCACACTGAACAATCCCAGCTCCCTCAGCCGCTCCTCATAAGCCCTGTGCTCCAGACCCCTCACCAGTTTCGTTGCCCTTCTCTGCACACGCTCCAGGACCTCAACATCTTTCCTGTAGTGAGGGGCCCAAAACTGAACACAGTACTCGAGGTGCGGCCTCACCAGTGCTGAGTAGAGGTGGATGATCACCCCCCTGCTCCTGCTGGCCACACCATTTCTAATGCAGGCCAGGATGCCGTTGGCCCTGTTGGCCACCTGGGCACACTGTCGGCTCATGTTCAGCCGAGATTCATGCAAACTTTTAAGACTTTAGCTGCACATCCTTATTTCATATATTAAAAATATCCTCGTGGCTGACAATTGTGAAGAACTTACACTGAATGTCATTCCCATGCATTCTAGCTATCTGTAATAATAAACACGTGTAGAACACAAATATCACCACAAAGAAAGAAAAAAAAAATCCTCACATAAAAATGTGAAGTTTATCAATTTTATAATCATTTATTGAAGAATTTGAAGTTTTGCTGTCGTGAAGGTCTATTATTAAGTATCACTATAAGCGATTTGAAAAAAGGCCCAAACATAAGGCAGTAGCTTGTATGGGTAACACATATACAGTCCAAGTCAACTACTGCATGCGCAATTGAAAGAGGCTGATCTTGTACCAAATGCCTTACCAAAAATAATAAAACATGAGCATAAATGTGAATGAAGATGTAATTTTAAGCATGTGTCAGCATGAACAAATGGCTAAGCGGCTTTGTTTCCTATAACAAAGCCAACAGAGCTTACTCACAAGTGGACACAAATGCTTCTTTACTCACACAACTTTCTGACTCACCAACAAATTCAAACCATCAAATAGAAAGAAGAAACATTTTTTTTAAAAAGATAACATAAAACACTTAAGATTCATGACAGAGTTCTGAATGGCAGAACTGCATGGGATTTAACAGTAAATACAGAGATTAAAAAGAAACAAATTTTCTACAGTATTTTTTCTTTAAACTGTACAAGTACTTTCACTTTATGAAGCTGAAATAAACATCTGGTAGATCTAGTTTGGTATCAACTACTACATGAGTTCCAGTCTTAAAATACACAAAAATGTTCTTATATCCAGCTGTGCTTCCATTTGCCATACCAAAATTAAGCAACATTTTATTTAAAAAGACATCTATCATAATGAACCACATCAAAAATAAATTTGGGGAAAAAGAGACCACTCCATCAGCAAGGTCATAATCTTTTAAAAAGAATTTCTAAAGCAAAAGCATGAATTATCTAAAAACAGAACATCTCAGAGCCACATGGGAATAATTTGTCACATCTGTCTCCCATGCTATAAATCACAAGCTGACTTCTCTTTGGATTTACTCAAGTTCACATAAATAAACTCCAAAGCACATGCAGGCTGCCAAAAATGGAAGGTTCTGAAACTACCCAACTTTTTTCAAGAGAAAGAAACAAGTTACATCAGAGACCTCAGGATTCTGGCAAGTTAGATGTACCACCAGACACAGCACTACTACTGTATTATCACAGTAAGTTTGTCATTTTAAAATTACATCTGTTTTCTGTTTTTAATTATCTGTGATAATTGTAATTCCACACAGTGTATAGCTTCAAGAAAACATCAGGTCAGCTTATTTTTAAAAGTCTGATATAGTTACCTATTTTAATGAATCAACAGTTTATGGCAAATAATGATAATATCCTAATGAAAATATATTTTTACATTAACAGAATGTCTGGTAGATCTTAATAAATCATCCAACAGTAAAAATATTTACTCCACAAGACTTCACAACTACAGTAGTCTTTTTCAGCTAATGTATACGTGCTAACTTCCTTCAAAATAATATTAAATACCAGGTGGGAGACGATAGAGAATCTGGATATTAACTCATCTACAAGATCAGGTTACAACTGATTCTTAAAAAAAATAAAATAAATACAGGAGTCCATGAAGAGTTGAGACTGTTCAATGGCACTGCATTTAAATGAGCAGGATAATGTGCAGGCACAGCGTAAGTTACCCTTTGTTCCTCAATTTCTCAATGGGAAAAAAAGTTATTAGCCTATTATCAAAAGAAACAAGCCTGTACAGTTTTGTTTTGATGAATGAAACAAATTCTGACTACATTCTAGTATAAGCCTTACAAAAGAAAACTAATAACAAAATATGACCAACAATCAGAAGGCATTCCCTCAGAAAGATAAAGGACTGCCTACCCATGCCTTAAACTAATAATTCTTCACATCTTCCCGCTTTGAAATGGAAATTAAAAATACAGTTTTCTAAAATGTAAAGATCTTTACACAGCTATACGTCAAAGAATGTTGCTAGCTTCCCAAATGGCTGACTGGAGATTTCTCTTGTTCATTTGTGTGTTTTGATGCATAGCTGACATTACCTGGCATAGTTTTTCCACTTATGTCAGCATTCATGACAGCAGTAAAAACAAAGAAAATAAACAAATAAAAAAGAGGCATTAAAGGGAAATATTGAGGGATGGGACTGCTATTTCAAATACTTCTAGAAAGTGCCTCCTTAACAACAACTGATTTGCATACCTCAAATTAAGAAGTAATTTCACATCTATTTCATTTGGACCTTTCAAATAATTGAGTACTGTAAAGAAGCTGGACTACAGCTGGGGCAGACATTAATACAGGGACATTCAAATCTGGCCAAAGGTTTTACCAGCAATTGGTAAAAAGCCATCAATTTACATGCTATTTAGCACAGCTGAGGAAAGTCAGAGATAACAGCTTTAAGCACTTACAAAGCTGCAACTTGCAAAATATCTCCTGTCCCTCAAGGCAATGGTACATCTGAAATTGAATGACCTTGTCTCTGATTAAGATGGATTTTTGCCTGCCAGGTACAACTCTCCAAAGGCTAGACTCTCACAGTAAAGACACAGATGAGGATCTCCAGAACTCCACACAGAACACTCAACAACAGCTGTGGCAGTGAATAAGACATGGAGAATGTGAAGCTGAATAATTTCATATTTTTCTAAGTGGATGATTGCTTTTTAGAACAGTCACTGAAAATGGAGTCCTTGCTCAGGCAGCATTAATATAGCATGAGCATGATACAGAAGTAGAATTTCTCAGCATTCCTGGTTTTTTTTGCTAGGTACCTACAAATATAGTATGACTGATATTGCACACACTAAAAGGCATTTAGGATTACAGCACATATCCAAGACGTATCTTTACCATTTTGATCTATAACACAAGTTTGTTTTTCCCACTGCACTGCAAATAATTACCTGCCAAAATATCAGTGTTCCGTGCAGCTATTGTTTTCACTTTTATTATTCCTGATTCAGCAGCCTGTAGAAGGAAAATAAGTAGTTTAGATGCTGTTGCATACATCAATATCTGCAAAGAAATAAACATATCTAAGATAAATAAAATTGTACAGTCTTGGAAGAAAAAATATAAAATTGCAGCATTTTCAGTAAGCAGAGTTAATATGGAAGTGAAATTCCTTCCCAGAACAGTACAGAAGGGGGTATATTTGATGGTTCTGATTTTCAGAAGGCAGTTTTCATTGTATTATTTTTCAGTCTTACGAATGCAAAGAAAAGTCACTGGCAAGCAGTTTGTGTATATCCTCAATCTATGAAACAACTCGTTTGATATATTATAACTTGTCACGTTCATCAGATTGAAATGCTGAAGGAACTGAGAATATTAGTAACAGTATCAATGTTTAATACACAACACTTGAGCAATTAAATCCAGTTAATAAAACTGACATGGTACACAGCACATGAATTCTATCACTGTTCTTCAAGTCAGGTAGTAGCATTTTCAGTTTGTAAGCTAACACTTTTACTAATATTTTTGGAACAAAATCTAATTTCTCATGCGATTTGTGTCCTGAATTCCCTCTACAAATTAACTGCATGTAAGCTCTACAAGCCTTCTGTTCCCAACAGTACCCACAGCACTCCCTGACATGACACCCCATTGACATCAATGCCCCCTGGTCCCCATGAGCAGCACTGTGGTGCACCTCACCACCCACCCCTCCTGGGCCAGCAGCCTGAGGGATGCTCAGGGGCCAGCAATGGAGCAGGGATACCATGGATCACTGAGAGGGACCAACTCTCCTCTTAATCATCCAGCACTGCTTTCTAACGCAGTGAAGTCAAACTGAACATTTCACAGAGGTGCTTTACCTTTCAAAACTAAAATTACTGGCAAGTTCTGTGTAAAAAATGCAAATTACACTGCAAATGGCTTCTTTCCAGTTTTTAAATTCATTAATATCTCATAAAGCCCGGGATACAATTGAAGAAATCTCCATAAAACATTGCATACCAAAAGAAACTCAACAGTTTTTCCCGAACAATAGAAAACATGTTCCTTTTCTGCCTTTGAAAGTATAAGTGCCCCTTTTAGTTCTGTTTCATATTTCTGTGTACTTTACACACTAAGCCTTCCCACATTTCCTTGGACTTAACATTCCTGCTAAGAGAACTGTGCTGTCACTGCATGGCACCAACCAGAGAAGCAGCCAGTCTGTGCTGGCAGAAACATGAAAGTGACAGCACGTAGCTCTGCCAAAGAGAACCATTTCCCCTCCATCTGAATCCCATTCCAACAAGATTTCCCAGAAAGACAGACAAAGATGACTGCATAACTGAAGTATTTGATTTTGAATTTAAGATTTGATAAAGGTTATTTCTCACAACAGCTAGATTTCAAAAAATGAAACCTAAAATTTCCATGCTTTTTGTTTGTTTCCCAACGTAAGCATAGGAATACTTCACACAGCCTTACCATCATTTGAATACACCTGCGAAATTCTGAGGAATTACATTAGCTTTGCTGAACAGTGTTTGCACATGAAAAATATTTACAGAATAATATCAACAGTGCCTAAACTAATATACTACATGCTCAAATGAGTGCATGGCAACATGCAAATACATATCCTGCATAATTAAATTGAGGAGTGCCAAATACAGTTTCATTTATTTTAATTACATTAACTTACAACTTAAGATGGTGCAACAAGTTAAGTTGACCCTTGTTCCACTTCAGTTATACACTGTCAGCTAATGAGGGGTCGTGTCACAACAAACTGTTCCCATTCGGAACTCCCATACGAAGGATTTGTCACAGTCCAACTTCCAATTACCTTCAAACTAAGCCTCATCACATCAACTGGAATTGCTTTCTTAGTAGCCAGTAGTGACAAATTTCCTCTGAATCAAAGAAATAATAATGCCAATTTCTAGTCAGAATTACAAACCAAATTGTTTACAATTAAAAGTTAACTGCACACAACCTATTAAAGAAAACAATAACTGCACACAACCTATTAAAGAAAACAATAACAACAAAACACCGTATTCCACTGTAAGTATAAAAAATAATCACTTATTTACAAAAAAGGACTTCAATTGAAAAAGGAGACAGTAGAAAAAAATGAGGCTACAAACAGTTGCCTGCTTATCCTATATACATCGGTGTAAAAGTAAACTTGGATAGGCTTGCTTTAGCTTGGTAAATAGTAATAATAGGTATAAAGTTTGCAAATTTACACCAGTGTAAATGTTACTACAGCACTCTAGATGTTACTGCCCCAATATAAAAGGATATTTTAATAAAGAGTATTACAACACTGATCAAGCATATGGCCAGTATCATGAATTTACTGGTATAACTACAGTTATTTACTTTCATATAAATATAAGGCATCTGTTTTAAGCAGTCACCACTTGTAAAAGCAGCATTATACAAGTTTCCGGTTGCACCACAGCTAACTGTAGTCGCAAAGAAGCAAATATATATAATTCCTGTACCATAACAAAGCTCAAGTGTACCTGAAGCCTTTAGTCAATTACATTTCCTATTCTGCTACTTTAACATCTGTGAAATGAGCTGAAATAAAGCGCCTCAAGCACACACTGTCACTACTGCATTTTGTTTCATGTTTCTGCTGCAGTAACTGTAGGATTCAGTTTTGGCTGGAGAAACATTGAAGAAAAACAGAAATGGGCTCTCAGTGATAACATATATTCAAATCAATTTCATCTGGATACTCCTATTTGCTTCTCTTCAAACAGTCTATAATCTCACAGCAAAATCCAGAAGGACCCTCCAGCCCTCCATTCAAACCAAAGGCACCAGCCAGGTGACAGCCAACTTCTGCTCGGCACTCTGCTAACACCAAGCAAGGGCTCACATACCCTCAGAGAGGTCAACAGCCAGGTAACATTCCATTCCCAGAATGGTATTTCTCCACACAAAATACATGCACACAGACTATAGAGATCTGTAACTCATAAATACTAGTTAATATTGGGACTGTTAGATATGCAATTCCACTCGTTGATGTTGAGGATGACAAAATGGGAAGCCACCAGTACCCACAACCCAGTCACAGGTGACATGACGTGTGGCAGATCTGCAAATGATTAGGGACTCTGTACAAGTTCTCAGATCTAACTGGAATGGATCAGTCTCCAGTAGCAAAAGATCACAGAATGGCCTGGGTTGAAAAGGACCACAATGATCATCGAGTTTCAATCCCCTGCTATGTGCAGGTCACCAACCACCAGACCAGGCTGCCCAGAGCCACATCCAGCCTGGCCTTGAATGCCTCCAGGGATGGGGCATCCACAGCCTCCTTGGGCAACCTGTTCCAGTGTGTCACTACTCTCTGAGTGAAAAACTTCCTCCTAACATCTAACCTAAGCCTCTCCTGTCTCAGTTTAAAACCATTCCCCCTTGTCCTATCACTATACACCCTTGTAAACAGCCATTCCCCCTCCTGTTCATATGCTCCCTTCAAGTACTGGAAGGCTGCAATGAGATCTCCCCTGAGCCTTCCCTGCTCCAAGCTAAACAAGCCCAGTTTCCTCAATCCTTCCTCACAGAAGAGGTGCTCCAGCCCTCTGATCAGATTAGTGGTCCTCCTCTGGACTTGCTCCAAGAGCTCCATGTCTTTCAAGATCCCAGTATAGCTAATGTCACAATGATAATGTTACCTGGTAGCCCGAGCAAAGAATGCCTTTAGAAGTAATGGCACTCAGCGTACATAACCCTGAAATTATTTGGAATAGTGTTTTACCTCTCACAAGCAAAGACATCACAGAAGCCCCACTGCAATGTGGCAAAATGTGTGTGTACAGATAGAGTGCTGGTGGGCAGCTGGGCTGAGAGCTGGCAGCAGTCAGCTGCTCCACAGTGATCCCTGCTCTCTTCCCAAGGTGTCAGGGTGAACGTGCTATCCTTCTTTCACTGATAAACAGGACAGTTAACAGCTCTTCCTGAGGAAAATATAACACACAGTTATAATCCTGAACCTCTTTCTTGTCAGCTGCCCTTTTCAGAAAATGAAAAGAACACTGTTTCAGCAATTTTTTAAATGTTTCAGAAGATCTTTTTTTAAGAAGGTTTTAAAAAGGACCGACTTGCTCATCCTCAAAGAAACTGGTGTCTCACCATTACAAGCCAGCAATTATTTTTTCGTTTTTACTTTTCTCTTCTAAACCAAAAATTATGCACCTGCATAAAGATGATTAATGTAACAACCACGCAGGTACTCATTTCAACTATGGATTGATTCCACTTCAAATATATTTTTATATGAACTTCCAATTAGATTGTATTTTTACAAAAAAAAATTAAATATTTCCACTATTAACACTCTGAATGACCTCGTGTTTCAATTACATGCAAACTGCTATCTCAAGAGATATCAAACCTGCTGGGAGGTTTGCTGCCCTTCCTCTGCAAGTTTTTGACTTCTCTTTTCTGAAAACAAAAGCATTCAGTAATTCAGGGAATGCTGGCCTGTGTTGGTACTTACATCGTACTGTTTGCAACCCTTTTACTATGATTGGATGAGAGTAACATATCATTTACAGTCACTTTCACATCTATCATGAAAAAAATGGAGCAATTTCTTTTTGTCTATAATTATTTGCCTCACTCACTGTAACACTAACTCTACATCCAACAGATTAGCTAAGAGATTCTCCTGGCTAAAGTACTGTCTCAATTCAATGTTATTCTGGCTTGCTTTGCAAAAGTACATTCTGGACCATTACTGCACTGCAAAACTATTATTTAGAAAAGGCACACCCACAAAAACTCACACAGTAAATCAGCATCATGAAAGCACTCAAGTGTACCGCATCTGTGCAAAAAAATCACTGTAGTTTCCTTCTGTATTTTTATCCTTCTCCTCAGGAGAACAATCCCTACTTAGACCCTTCTCTTTTATATATACTCATTCTACCTATGATTTAAACTGGTGAAATGCTAGTTCTGATTGACAGCACTCTGTACTCACAGGGAATTATTGTATT